GCGTCGAAAATTCATTTCTCCTTTTGTTTCTTTACACGCCCTCTCCTCTCGCAATTACGCCGACATTCACGCCAGTTTTTCTTCATTCTCGCTTCCGTTCTCTCCCTTCCTCTCGTTTCGTTGAGCATTTCGACAACCATGCCTTCCTCCGAGTCATTCGAGTCTCGCTTACGCAACTCACAGATTCATTCATCTCGAAACTGTCTCGATCGTCTCCCATTCGTAAACACGCGTCTATCCCTTCTCCCTTCCCGGCAATTTAACGTACCCAGCCTCCCAATTATACTTTCGTTCTCCCATTGCGTCTTGCTCTCTAACGAAAGAATTAAAATTACAACGACTAATCAACGACTTAGATACGCTTTTGTCTTTCACTTAAGAGTTACGGAATAATTATGATTCTCACGAGAACACAATGGTTGGCATTTGTTGTTTCGTTAAAAACATCCTCCCCACCGCTATTTTAATACGTCCCTACGCAACGGTCTTAACGTCGAGTTTATACGCTTTAATTAATTAATTAGATAATTAATCGATACCTTAATTATTGATCCTACGCGTGTCCCCGTACCTCGCGGTCCGGAAACCGCGATCTTATATTGGTACAGTCGGGGGAGAAAATTCTACATAATATTGAGGTTGAGTTTGTTCTCATTTTCTCTCTTTCTCTCCTTCACACACATACACACACTCCCTTTCCCTCTCTCTCTCTCTCCCTCTCTCTCGATTTTTCATTCGCTCCCGCTCACTCGTCTTTCTGCGTTTAAGGTACTCTGAGGATAATCGTTAATTTATAATACATTTGTACACAACTTATCCCTTAATCAATAATTATATCGATTTACCTACAACGTCGCCTGGGTTTTCTCGCATTCGTTCGTCTCCTTTCGTCCCTTTGTCACGCACCCAATCGCATTCACGCATTCTTTCCCTCGAGTCTGGCACCCTTTCACCCTTTTTCTCCCTTTACGATTACTAATCGCACGACCGTCGACGATCGTGCGGTTTTAAGACACGTTCAAAGAGCCTGCCGTTTCGTCGAAACGCCATTGTAACATTCAAAAGTAGCGTCGAAGTGAAAAAAACGAAGGTCTCGACGTAACGATAAATCATAACGGAATAAGTTATAGAGTTGTAGAAAAAAAGGAATCAACGTGCAAACAAACCAAAGAGCCATGCGACGACGAAACAAAACAAATTGATGTTCGTTTACCCTTAGCACTATGATCTTATCGTCCGAATAAAACGATTGATTTAATTTTCCATTTTTCTTGATAGCACTTTCGGTGTACTTTCGTGTATTTATTGATCATTCCCCCCCCTCCCCTACCCGTGAAATCTATTTCGTAGTACTTAGCTTATTTTTCGAGTCGCCCTTAAACGGCTACGACCCTTCCGATTCGTATGATCTATATCCTTAGGCGGAGGTAACGAGTTTCCCTTTAATCCCCTTTTATCGTGTAAACTAGACCGTTAAACATTAGACAGCCTTTTAACTATTTATAATAAACGTGATAGTCGACGATAACCTTAAAAACAGCGTCATTTTTCTCATCTAATTAGTAGTTCGAGGATTCTTCTGCCCCGCGAGGCTCGCGTTAATGTAATAATTCTCTGTTTAAATTGTTTACTACGCTTATTTATCTATCTACCCGTCCGTCTTTCCTATTTGTTACGTTAGCTGCAGCCCTCTGTCTCCTCGTTTGCTTTTATACTCGCATTTGCTCGCATCCTCGCTTGATGATTCGTGTCCCCCATTCATTCTTCTTTCATTCTCTTCTCGCGCATCGCCGATTAAATTGCCTTTCTTTCTCTCTCTCTTTGACTCTCGTTCCCCGTTTTCTCTCATCCTTTCTATCTCACTCGCTCCCTCTCCTCCCTTTATTTCCTTTCTCTCGCTGTTGATTGATTTAATTAAACGCTACGCGGTCTTCTTACAGACTTAAGCTACGCCGATAACGCGCCCGCTACTCCGTAGCCTCGAGAAGCTGTAAGATATAGACATTTATCCGAGAAGAATAGTAAAGCCGTTGCTCGTAATCCGTGAATCGTTAATTAATTAATTAATTACAATAGAAAATAATAACAACAACAGTACAGTTCCTTCGTTTAAATGGTACTAGTCGTAAATAGTAGTAAATAGTTCGATTAAGACATAGCGGTACTTTGACACTTTTCATTTTATCTTTAATAGTTTCTCTCCCTCTGTCGTTTATTTCTTTTGTCCCTTCGCGTTTTATAACCCTAAGCCTAAAGTGGCCGCAGCAATATTTCCAAATCGGCGTTCTGCTCGCTGGAGTGAAAAAAGAAGAAGTAGAAGCGCGTTCGAACGCGGTCTAAGGTACACTGGATTTATCGTATTCTTTCTTATTTTCATTTTTGTCGTTTACACGCGCCGGAACCCTCGATCGCCCCTCGCCGATCGGAGAACCTCGTCGATCGAAGCAGATTTATCCTACGAGCGGGAAAAGTATCCTTTTCTCTCGCTTAATCTGTTTCTTTCGTTTTGTTTTTTTTTTCCATAAAAGGGCAGTGGTCGTTGGACGTATTTTACTCAGCGAAAAGTACCGTAACAATTAAATAAGCTAAGAGTACCGTTTCAAACGCGAAATTAGAACTTACCGTAGGATCGATTTACAATACAACATATATACTGTACAATTTGTCTATTGGTGTATCTCTCTTTGTGTGTGTATATGTATATGTGTGTGTGTGTGTGTTTTCTTGTTTTTGTCCGAGAGCGTCAGTCTTATTAGGACCGTTTCAAGGGACTCGACATCTTGGAATGAGCAAAGTGAAATTCTTTTCAGACTTTTTTTCAAACGACTATTTCGCACCCTTAATTCAGTCGTGGCCCGGGATAAATTACATCGAACTAATTTAAAAATAAGATATCTTAGCAAATAAAATTAAGGAATCTTAACACGGACTATAGTTATTCGAAAATTCGTTCCAACCACCAGCCGACCCTGATTTTTATTCGTCGATTTTCGTTTAATTGTACGCGACCTCTATATCTCTACGCGATCGTTCTACGTCACTTATATACGATAGATGCACATCGAAACATTAAATATTACACGTTAAAGTACAAACAGTTATCTATGGTAAAGATTAGGTGCATGCGCATACAGGACTCGTAAATACTATACAGAGCGTTTCGTTATCGCGCATAACTTCGGGGGTGAATTCAGCGCGCTAAAAATGATAATTAAAAAAAAAAATTCATGCGTGGGACACCCCGTATGACCTTATTTCCAGAATTACAGCGGTTTCTTGCGACCGTAGATCATTTTTGCACGATAAATTCACCCCAAAAGGATTGTACCTATTAATAACAATACATCCTCTGTATATCGTGTCTTTCGAATCTCGTCTTTCTTTGTGTATGCCGATTTAGCCGAACAGTGTTGTATAAGTATACATATATGTTTACATATATATATATTTATATATACATGTATATATACGTCTCTAATAAGAATGAAGTGACTCTTTTAATTCGAGTTTGTCGCAAGCGAATATTGCTCGCTTACACGTTCCCCTCTCGTGCTCTTTTTTATTTTCCCATTGTTCGCGATGTTTTAATAGTGTCCACGCCAAGACAATAAAAAAACAAAGATGAGAACGGAAGGCATTTTCGTGGTCGTCACATTTGCGATTCGAAATCCCGAAAACGATCAAAATCTTCGGGTAGTGTCGCGCGAATGTCGCGTTCGTCGCGGGCCAACATTCGTCGTCACGTTTTATAAATGCAAGGGCGAGAACTTATACATTCCGACGAATCGATCAGTTTAATGGAAAGATTATGCTGCTGCGTCCACGCGTACAACCTGAAAACGGTCACTCGTTTTATAATTCGGCAATTAACCATTACTTTAAATCCCTTAATTAATTAATATCCGTTAGTAACGATCTAATAAGTTTTGTATCTCTCTGATCTGGACGTACCGTCTAATATTAACCAGTAAATTCTATACAAAGAGTAAAAGTATCGATTTAAGGCTCGTTTATGGTTCTTTCTTACCCAAAAGACCTTTGCTACCCCCTCCCCCCTTTCTGTCCGCTAAACCTCTCTTTTGCAACCCGTTATATCGTGATACCCCGTCGTTTCCAAACGCTTTCTACGTTTCGCTTCTGCCCCGTCTCCCGATATCTCTAGGAATTACGATTACAATAAACTAGTTACTTAATTGAAAAACGTTTCTTTCGGGTCCCGAATTGCTTACTGTCTGACTTACTTAAAGTGAACGATCTAAAAACGTGAGCTACTTGGAGAGTTCTCTCCGACTTAAAACAATTTTCATCGCGCGAACGTCCGGTGTAAAATCATGCTCTAAAATATTGGGTGTTGTGGTGATGGGGGTGTTGGGGTATGTGGGAGGGGCAGAGGGGGGCGTGAGGAATTTTCTTAATCGATTAAAATCTCAGTCTGAAACGTCCGTCTTGATTCCGAATCCGTAACGTCGGTCTCTCAGACGACGCGCACACTTCGTTTATCGTATCTCGTTCGCGTTCCCGACTGTAAAATCGTTTAAAAAAGAGAAGAAACGGACAAAGCAACGTATCCACAAACGCACACGTGATCTGAGAAATGGACGTTAAACGTCGAGTCGTCGATCGACAAAAAACGTTCGATCGTAGAAAAGTGGCTAGGCTATGAATATTTTATCTTTTGATTGTGTCGTGTTAACCGACGGTCGCAGAAGTAGAAAGTGCCGTTTGATGTCGATTGAATGCGAAACGCGTCTGGCGTCTGTACTTAACTATAACAACAACTGGCGTGAAAACTCGTAAACGTTACCCCTTAGCGGTTAAATCTTTATCTTTAGAGGAATAATACCGTTAATTGTTATTATTGTAATACGTAAATACAACGTAACGCCTGTTCATATGTACATATTACAACCGCGGGAAAAAGTAGAAGTATCTCGTCGTCGACGATTTAATCGGTATCAGCTAACGAGCGAAGGACTTATTTATCACGAAAGGACCGACCGTTTTAGGAACTCCAAGAACAAAGAAGCAGCTGCCGGCCTCGCCGAGAACCACGGTGTATCAATAATCGTTAATTACAATGAGGTATATTCGAGAAATGCTTACGAACGATTTTAAAAAACAGCTGTCGTGTGTGTTGTCGTTTATCCCGAAATCGATCGCGTGTTTTTGTTTTTTCTTTCTTTTTCTTGTTTAATTCTAAGTGTACCCTAAGAGATGCCTGCTGAGTAAATTGTATCCAAAAAGTAGTAGACTAAAGAAATTGCTAGCAGAAATTGCTCCGTTTGTTTGATATCTTATTAGGTTTTCTTTTTTCCTTTCGTTTTGATCGTGACGCTGTCTCTCTCGTTCGCGTGACCCATGAGCAAAGTAACTTCGTGACTTGAAATACTCTCTACCGTCTGCCAGAAAACACAACTCATTAACACGATATTTACGTCTATCCTTATCCCTCGAAACTTATCGCATGGTTTTAGTCGGGGGAAAGTAAACAGTCACGTTACGAACAAACGCGACGATCGCGCGATTTTCGCGCGAAACGCGATTGCAAATGTGACGATCCATGCGCGTGCGTGTGTGTTTTTCTCCGTATGTGTGTTTATTTCACGCGAAACCCTCGTTGCGAGGTCGTGATTCCTTACGCAAGATCAGCAAATAGAGAAAGGTGGTAATTACCATCAATGATGAAAAGAACTACGATTCGAATGTTCTAGCGAGAAGTGATAAAGAAAATGAAAAAAAGCGACGTATATCCGTCGTGATGGTGATAAGAAAAATGGTAACAGCAATGGCGGTATCTACTATAAAGTAAATAGGCGACGGTGGATAATAATTCGAGTAACAATCACGTGTTTGTGTATTAATGTTGCATTTGCCCAAATTTATATAAAATACCGTTCGAAAGATTTGAAACACTCTTTGCAAGCGATGAGCAAAACTCTTACTTGAATAAAAATTTGGATCGATCAACACGTTGAGTAGAAAAAAGAATTTTTTAGGATATTGTTATATAATAAGTGTGTGAATGGTACGTAATGAATAAGAATGAGTGATTTATTAAATATCTTGATAAAATTGAGCTGTGCTATGGTGTGAATGACAAGTGCTTCACTTGACCGCAATTCGCGCAAGATATTTAACAAATCACACATTTCCATTCGTTAACGTACAGATACATTCACAAACATATTCTATAACAATATCCTAAAATTTCAATTCTAGAACAAAACATATCACAACGAACAGATAAAAATTTCAGTCTGTTTTAGCTTTGATACTGTTTTATAGACAACTGATTCTTCCATTGCTTAAATAAAGATTTATTAAATTCGAATAAAATTAATATGTTTGTCTCAAATTATATTTTAGCAACGTTCAATAAATATGTAAGGATAATATTTTGAATGAAACGTTCGTGCATTTATTTTAAAGATCAAAGAGTGCTTCAAACTGATCAGAATAATTCTAAACGCGACATATTGCAATTAATTAAACAGTGTATGCCACATCAAATATATCAATGTTTCTCAAACTTCATTATCCTTCCAGCCCCCTCAATCAAACACATTTTTTGCACACCTAGAATAGAATTAAATTATTGTAAATGTGTTTTTATATTTAAAAGACATTAATGTAATTTAAATACTTTCGTTAATTTTAATTTGAACATTGTATGCGTGATAAAGTAACACGCGAGATTAAATATAAAGCGGAGTTAAACGAGTCTTATCGGAATTTATTTAATACTGTTTAATATTTAAAAGTTCAGATTATCTCTTCCATCATCGAACGATGCCATGGACGATGCTACTTTTCAGAAATTAAATAGGAAATATTGCTCTTATTTAAAAACATTTCTTATGCTGTTTTTCTGCTGAGAGTTCGTGGATCCCAGTTTGAGAAACGCTGAAATATATCGTTTGGAAAAGTGAAACTACGTTTGGCCTCCAAGGAACAGTGTGCATCAAATCAATCAAAAGCTATGTATATTTGAAATAATAGCCACCGATGACCACCGTGCCACTCACGTGATAAACGTATCTGATGAAAAAGATGTGATCGATTTTCACGGATAATGGGATCGCCATCTTCCTATTAGGACTAATTGATTACCCTCTCTCATTCATTTACTTTCACTCTCTCCCTATCGTGCCCTTATTTTTCCATCGGTTTCCCTTCCCCTTTTATTTCCACTTACTCCCGAATAACATCGTCTATCTACGATGGAACGATATCGCCCACCCGTGTTACGCACCCCGATTCATATCTCTACCATATTATTATCGATCTTTCGTCGTACAACGAACGTTTCCGCCACGATATTACTCTCTCTCTACGCGACTATCCCTGAGCGTTTCGCGCGTTTTTTTAATTCCTACATCCCCCTTCCCCATGTGGAAGCATCTCTTTCTCATCCCTCTCGATAGAGAAAATAAACGAAAGAAAAAAAAAAATTGTGATCGTGTGTACGGTGAGTATGAGTGTACAGAGACGTGTACATATGTGGTAATACATATACGTACATATGTCGACATATACGCGTGCACGAATGGTCGTGCATGCAAAATGTACGTACCTTTAAACAAAAATAAGAAAATTAAAAATAAAATAATAATAACGTACGCCCCTAAATCGATATATTGTCTCCTTCTGCTTTTTAAAGGTATACATTTACACGAGCAGACATACGAGTGCGTGTACATACATATATGTTGCAATGAATAATACAGATACATGATAGAATAGCATGTAAACATGTGTTTCTCTCTCAACATCTCTCTCTGAGTGTAATAATAATAGTAATAATAATAATATTAATAATAATCATAATCATAATCATCGTTACTATCAGTTAACGCGCATAATATTATAATGTTCATCGCGACAACACTCTCTCTCTCTCTCGCTCTCTCGCTCTCTCGCGCTCTCTCTCTCTCTCTCTCTCTTCCTCACTTTCGTTATCTCTCTGTAAATATTTCTACTTCGCTCTGAATTTCTCTCGTGATTACTCCTACTTTATTAATCGTTTCCCTTTTCTCCGTCTCGCTTTTATCCTATCCTGTATTTTATTTCTCAGCTTCTTTCTCGCTGTATCTCTCCTCCCTCTATCTCTCTCTCTCTCTCAGTTTTCCATTATTCTTGACTTAACATCTTTATCTCGACTGTTCCTTAAGGAGTACCTTAAGATCAGAGACAATGCGCTTTAAGCTGACACACACGTTTTTATACTGCTACTGTGCTGACAGCGGGGTGTTCGACTTTTTTGTCCGGTTCGAACTAGCGAAATTTTCTTGGAAAATTGTTTTTTTTCCCCTCTCGATCAACGTATCTCCCTCTCCTCTTTCTCTTTCCATTTCCATTTCTGGTCTTTCGTGTGCGGAGTTCTTTTCGGGCTCGTCGAGTTTCGGCTTCGTGGGCTCGTTAAGTTATCGTCGGAAAGTCGGACACCCCTCTCGGTACAGAGAGTTATCTTTTCATATAGTCTGCGGGCACTGGGAATAAGACGGACAGAAAGCGTGCGAGCGTAAAGATCCTTAAATGTATCCCTTATTTCTGAGGTAAAACACAACGAACAGGAATACGTTTTCGCAGCTTCGACGACGCATCGGCCCCGGACCGATCTCTCTCGTGATCTCGGCCGAAACACGTTGCGGGCCGATGCGATCGAACCTCACAAACGCATATTGTGTATCGTCTTTTTTTCATTTCGTTCTTTGTTTCTTTCATTTTTTTTTAGTATTTAACTCTTGTTCCGCGTTAACTATCGTTCCACTATAATATTCTAATCGTTCGGCTCGTAGGGGGGCACGATCTTACCAATATAATGCTAAACGTTACAAGTATACAGGTCATGTTATTACAGTTAACAATTTCATTTATTATCGTTACAATCGTCGACTATTTTTTTCCCCCATTACGTTTATTTACCTTATACTTCACACTAAAATATGATAAAAAGTAGATCGATCGAATTCTCGACTCGTTTCGATGCGAGACAAAGCATTCCAAACTGTAGGAATTCCATTCACTAAAGTGCAAAAAATCGTTTTACGTTTCTTTTCTCTCTCTCTCTCCCTCTTTCTCTCACACACTCTCTCCCTCTTTCTCTCTTCTCGTCATTTTTCTCGGTCGTTCTCTCGAGCGAAATGAAGACGCGGGCGACTTGCTACTAACGTTTCGCGCCCGACGGCCACCATTTTACTAACCCAGACCAACGTATTTAAACTGTTAAAACTTTAATTCGCTCGCCATGAAATATTCCATAAATCCAATATTTATTCGAAAAGCAAGATATAAATATTTATATTTCATTTGATTATATCCGTGGGCACTGTAGTTTACGTTTGTTGTACGCTACAGTAATTTAATAACGTGTCCCAACTAAATTAATTAAAAAAAAAATCCTCTCGTGATCGTCGATCGCGAAACGTCAACGCGTCTTCGAATAAATCGTTATTGTTTCCTTTTTGTATATCTCGTTCTCTTTTTTTGGCGGCTCTCGAGTAGCATTTCACGAAGTAAAAGTCTTTTATTACATTCGTCCGTTCCATATTCGATCGTTCTTCCAATCCGTTAATGCACTCACGATTTCGTCAAGAACCTCTAATTTCTCTCTCCATTGTATTCCGCCCCGTCTCATCGCTTAAGTCTCTGAACGTGAAAAGCATTTAATGTGATGTAAAGTGGCGTGTCAAACATGTGTCAATGGGTGTGTGTACACGTGTACATTTTCTTTTGCGCACACAGCGTGTGTCGTTAATACGGTTCGGTTATAATAAACCCTCCACACGTCGATATAAGTTCTCTTTTTTTTTTTTTAATCTCTCACACTTATAGCAGGACACTTAACATAAATGTACATTTAGAATTTTCTCTCTTATATGAAACCTCGCTTTGTATGTGTTCGTGTGTGCATGTATGTGTGTTTCTTTAAACCTGTACGATTCCTTTCGCTACTATAATAATGTTTCTATTATGTTTTTCTTCTTTCATTAAGACAACACGATTACTTTGTCCTTTGTAATTAGAATTTAATTCCTTAACTGCTTCTATGTAAACGTAATTTAGAATATTCTCGGTGTGTGTACCTGTGTACGCGTGTGTCTCCGGTGTGTACGTCCGTACATGGCATATACATATGTGACACACATTTTCCCCTATCTTATCATTAAATCCGTTTGTCGGTTTTCTCTCGTCTGAAATCGCGCCTACCTTATTTCCGTTGTGATTCGCGCCGTGTGCCTTCGTGCGATTTGTTACCGAAATTCTAATCGCGCTAACCAAATACTATTTACCGATGACATTCACTACCTCGATTTCCCTCTCCTTCTCATTGTTGGACTTTCTTTTATTGCGATTAAACAAGCGTTAAGTTCTTATGTCTGACGACGGTAAAGATACTTGGCAACAGCTCGAGAAGTTCGAAAAATTTTTTCTTTCTTTTTTTTTTTGGGTGGGGGCCGTTAAATCGAACACAAGAAAACCGATGACCGGACGAAAAAATTGGCTCAGGCAGTGGTATACGTACTTAATCACCGGATGAGAATTTGTGCTTAAATCGAGCGAACGATTGACATTTTAAACGTTACAAAAACTATTTCGACTGACGATCATCTTTCCCGAACGTTATTCCATACACCTTGGAAAAATGCCCACGCGTCGACACTCGCGGCAAACGTGTTATTATATTTATCGTGCTTCGATGCTGTTCTCGCCCCACCACGTCAACAAACAAGAGGAAAAATGCGAACGTTCAAGGATCAATTGAATTGTAATAATAAGCGTGTAAAAAATGCAATGACCAATACGTCGTTGTGGTATCAACTAATTACATTAATATCGATTAAAGATACGATTAAACTCATCGATAAACAACGGTTTCTCGTTATAGATTACAATATGAGTAGTAAGTATTTATGTATAATTATTTAATTATATGACCAGTCTTCAGTGAGCGGGACGTCAAGTATGCGTTAACGTTAAAAACAGACATGTAACGCCCCCGGAATTATAATATATTTATCGTTTTTCCTTTGCTTTAAATATTGAACGCTTAACCTTTTTTTTTTTAACCTCGCGAACCTAACGTATGTGTATTCGTAAAATTAAAAGATTCAACATGCTTGCACTACCTAATTAAATTAAAGACGAAAGTGAATACCTAAATATAAATTACATCTTCAAGGAATTCTTTCAGTGTACAAAAAAAAAAAAAAAAAGAAAAAGAAAAAGAAAGAAAGACGAAAACAAACAATGATTAAGAGAAGATTAAGTTACGAAATGCATGAAGAAATGGGAAAAACGGTAAAATTGTAACGGTTCGAAGAATGAATTTAATCCTACGACTGCGTAGAAAGATGAGAATACTAAAAACATGTAAAAGTGTAAAAAGTTAATTCTATATTTCTGTTAATAAAGACGAATAATTTTGTACTCTCCCCGTTGCAGTGCCTTACGACAATAACAAACAAAAAGGAAATAATCTAACAGCTGTCTGGAGTTTTCTATACTTAAATCTTAATGTACAATTAAAGTGGTCTCAGTCCTACAAGTCGGCAATAAATATTAAGCGGTAAGATCCATGACTTTCTAACACACGAAATCGCCCAATATTGACAGAGTCTTCTCTCGTCCGAAAAAGAAAACAAAAAAAAAATACAAGAAAAAAAAAACGGCCTAAATGAGCACAAATACAAAATGACACTCGAAAATTGTAAGAACGAGCCTAGCCAGGGAGAACTTACAAAACGAAAAAAAGAAAAGAAGACAAAAGAAAAAGTAGAAAGGAGGAAAAAAGACAGTAACAACCCTGAGAGCAAGCCGTAGTTCGCGAGTTTCGCGAACACGACAGGTAGTAACAACGGTTAGAATCAAAGTATCTTTCCCTATTTGCTACGTATTTACGTTAATTAGATGCATTATCTCTGTATTGAAAAATACTAATATTATTGCGTTAAATATAAATATATTATCTGTTATAATTATTTAATCGTCAATTATTTCAAATAGTCCCGCTAGTTCCCGCTTTCCTGTCATCATTTTGTGTCAGTGTGTGTGTGAGTGTGTTTTTTTCAAATCCATTGCTACCACTTTCGCTCGTTATCTTGATACTATTAACTTCCGACCGTACCCTAAAATATACGTATATACACAGTGCGGCAAGGCAGCCGTTTTGTTTAAACTTTGTATCATCTTTTTTTTCTCCCCCATTACCTTTTTTACTTCGTTCCACGCTAGAGTTAATTTAAAAATCACTCTGAGACTCGTTAATTATAATACAAATTAATTTACCTCGTTTACCGATTCCAACAAACACATTAATTATCGTTAACGCGTCTATAAAACAAATGTATTAATAATCACTTTCTCCCTAACTCTCCTTTGCATACACTTAAAAACCTTTCAATTTATCATACGCTTTAACTTTATTTAAAAATTGATAATATAGTAGTAAGGAATACAATTAGTTACTTCGTAATAATTATAATCATAATCGATATACTAGTGGTTCTTGTTTACGTTCGTTTATTATATTACTTTATAAAATAAGTTCTGAAAAAACAGCCATAGAGATAAAACTTTTTTTTATTTCTCTTTTTTTTTCTCAATCTATTAAATTTGCCGCTCTCGCTCACCTTTCTCTCTCTCCCTCGCTCTCCCACTCTCTCGCGCCTCTCAAGTAGATATTAAACAACGTATTATTTAGAACAACCACAAAGTCACTGTTTATTTTTGTCCACGTTTATCTATTTAGCGTCTTATCGATTCACTATTGTTCGGATGTTCGATATAACTTGTGACCTGTTTAAATAAATTTTTTTTCCATCTTCGCTTCTTTCAATGCGCGTAGAACTGTGTACGTGTTTGAATGTGTATCTGTGAGAGTACGTATATGTTACGTGTATCCGTGTAATTACCATAACAATTAGTGTACAAATTGTTTATGTTTGATTGAGCTCCCCACTCGTCTTTTCTTGTCTTTAGTTTAGTCAAGTAAACGTGTTATTGCGTTGATCCCAGAAGTTTCCACGAGTCGCGTTTGTTATGCTTTCTCTTCATCCCAGTGACTTTTACGTATCCCTGTTCTACAGCACTACATGATACTGTTAACAAGAACTTCAACAAGGAAATATATCGAATTGAGACGCGAAATGGTATCGAACGTTCAAATGGTTGTATATACAGAATAAGTACAGTGTATAATCGATTGGGAAAAGTCGATCGATAGCGAAAAATCTCGATCGCTTCTATTTACTCCGTATATTTTAATGCGATGGAGACGAAAATAAAAGACAAATGAAAGAAAGAACAAGTATGAATATCATATATATGTTATGTATATATATATATATGTATATATATTTTTTTTTGTCGCGAGTTAAAATGCGTTTACGTTACGAAAGGGCACTGCAATTTGACAAGAAAAAGAATAGTCGCTATGAAGAGACACACTAATCGTATTGAGATCATAACGAGGAAGCTTACTCAAATTGCTGGATCCATTATTGTAACCTACTAATTACCTTGTGACATTGTAAAAAATTTAAAAATTACATTAGAGCGTAATACTTGCGATTTCTTATTGACAAAAGTAAGACACAACGCGACCCGCTCAGTAATAAACATGAGCATATTTGAGAACATTCTTCCGAAATATTTCTTGTTTAGAACTATGGTAAATCCTACAGAGTAAATACAATTAAGTCATATATTTAATCAGGTAGACTTTTCAGATCGACGCCCCCCGCCGAGAAAAACCGCACACAAGTTTACACAAATACCCCTCCCTCCATCCTTAGATACCGTGATCTCATCTCTAATCATCTAAAATTTAAAAACACTTATAAGCATCATCGTACAATATTTGTAATTATCATAGACAGTAATAATAGTGTGTAATAGTAGTGCAATCGTAGTGGTTGCAGTAGGAGCAGTCGCAACAGTAAATAGTGATAAATAGCTGTAAATAGTTTTATAATGGTAATAGTAGTATAATAGTAATAATTATTATAGAAGTAATAATAATAGTAACAATAATTGTAGCCTTAAACGTGCCTAATAATTAACTATTATAAATCCGAGGTAAAAAATAAACTAGTTTCCACATATTTGATGCAATATAGCCGTACAGAAACCCGTCTGACGGTTAAGAAGTTCTTATGATACAATTCTTTTACGTTCTTTTTCTTTACTTTAAAAATCATCATCATCGTTTGCGTTTCTGTTCTCGTCCTCTTCCTTCCAAACGCAATAAACTTCCGCGGCTCGGTCGGAAACGGAAAAGGACCAGACGAAACTTAATATAGAGAAAGTCAAAAAGCGAAAGACAGTAGAAGAAAAAGAAATAGACAATATGTCTAAGACAACTACTATAATGATATGACGTGAAAAAGTAAATAAAGAAAGATGCTTAAGGAAACTGCACCCTGCTGTCAAAGAGTTATAGATTATACATACATCATATTAAAATGATCTATTTTTACTTTACACTATCTCTGTAGTTTAGGTATAAGTCAGCCTGTGTTAACACCTTACTTAATTATTTCATTAATTACTCGTTACGTTTTTCATCTTTTTTTTTTTAAATCCTTCGGTTATTCAGCATAACAACTATTTAATAAATACGAGATCGTGGAGGGACGGGTGTCTCAAATGTGCAAGTCAATCGCTGACTTTCCACTTGGAGACCGTTAATAATATTAGACTTCTTTTATTTATTATTCTTATTTTCAAATTACCGAAGAGTGATTTACTAAATGTATGTAATAAAGGAGGTGAACGAGCATCGAAATTTGTGCCATTCACTGAGAAGTAATTTCTCGAACGAGATCTCATTCACCCCCGCGTAAATGCTGTTAAATAATTAATGATTCAGCATTCCTTGTTCTTTACACTCGCATTTTACTGTTTTTACGTCACTTAATCCCAACTCGATCTAGTTTATTCTTATAATACTTCTATGTTCCGCTTCCTACCCTCTATCCCAGTGCCATACACAAAATTCGCTTGCACCATGGGTGTGTTATTTTTTTTTTTTTTTTTTTTTTGTTATCGTAAACTCTTGATCTGTCTTCGTTTTATGAGTTATTTTTTTTTTCTTTTTTTTTTTTATCTCACACTCTCTCTCTCGCGCGCGCGCTCTCTCTCTCTCTCTCTTGAATAAGCATGATAGTTCCGTTTCCTTTTGCTGTTTTCCAGTTTATTTTGAAACCCGACAAGATCATGGGCCGTTCTCGCGAGCGATCAATGAAATCAATGTTTCGAGCAACCTAACACCCTCTTTTCCTTGACGCTTCCGTTTTACAAACTTGGGCAGATGCTGCCGTCTCTTCTCTCTTTTTAATGCCGAAAAAAGATATGTCGTAAAATATTATTGGATCAACTGCGAATACGACCGCTCGCGAACGACATGCTGGCTCGGTTGAGACATTCTTTGCCTAAAAAACAAACCGTGAAATCGACGACGAAGATAAAAAAAATCACCAAAAACTATGATACACTGATCCAAACGTAACTCTGTAAGCAATACCAGATACACTATTAAACTATTAATTTTCAGACTCTCTGAAAGAAAAACTCATCGAATCTATCGAACGCCAACGTGCCAATGTTTCGAAACATGATCTTCGTTGCTATTTTTTTTTTTTTTTCTTCCCACCCCCGTCCCGTTTTGAGCAAAAATTGCAAAGAACGTCCCAGATCCGAGCACAGATTCACGATCGATATACAAGTTGCGTTTTCCCCGAATATGTAATAAGAAATAACCCACGAGCAAGGCCAAGCCATTCAGCGCATCTCTCCATCACGGGTCAATTAAAATGGTCATGAAGTTTGCCACTCTTTGAAATCAAAGCCTTGCTGGGGTTTAGGGGCGCTGGCGGCATACCCACCTTGGTTGCTTTCTCCTCCCTGATATGAACGCTGAGGATAACTGGTGTCAGCGTAATTACCATATGCGGAGTACCCAGTATAATCCGGAGTCTTAGCTGAACTGCTACTGGATCCAGGTGCACCTGAGCCGGTGGTCTGTCGTGAATACATATCACCTGGAACATTGATTTTCAACGTGACATTACCCACCCACGCCACTTATCCCGCCTAAATTATTTAAAAGCTGAAACTACTCTGATAACGAAAGATACATTTTTGATACTTTTCGTCGACGGTGTATACATATATATATTTATATATTTATAATCGCTAATACGACCGGTTTAACTATGCCATCTACGATCGAGAAGAGCGTTCATAAAATACTCTGAGCATGCATTTGAAAGATCTGCGAATCGTGTGAAGGGAGGACAAAGCCAATTCGCTTTCCGTAAAATTCTAACAAATGAAAAAAAGTATCTAAAAATATATCTCGAGTATTTTTTTTTTTACTTATTTACAAATACGTTAGTGTGTGTTTGTGTGTGTTCGTGTATTTAAAATAGCGTAATTATATTTATACAAAATGCTGAGACCAGTACGTTTAAGACTTGGAAACTTAAAGCACATTTTTCTCGGTTTGCTGTTCGATAATCGTTATATGCTTTGTGGACAATTACAAACGTTTCTTACATAAAAGTAATTTTCGTAAAGGATTTCCAGGGAAATAAACTTATTACACAGAACAAGCAGAAAATAATACTGATCTCAGAGTTTCAAGGACGAATTTATGCCTATTATTGTTCCGATATTAAGCGAAATACTGCACGCTTATTTATTAGAAAATTAACTCGTTTCTTTTATAGGAAATTAATTTTGAGTAACTGAGAATTGCTGAACGTGGAATATTAAGACATAAATTCGTCGCAAGTTCTGCTGGTAGGCAATAAAGGAAATGAAAGGAGCGAGAGTAGGATTGCACTATCATACATTACTGTGAATCAATCGTTTTCGGAAAAAATTGAATCTTTAACTTTTTACAACAACGTCTTACAATGGAACATACATAGAGACATTTGAAAAATTAGTTCCAAATACCTACTCTATTTCTAATAGTGCCACGACAGTAATCAACTAGTGGAAATATTTAAAAGAATAACTTATTAAAGGGGTACTGGCCAGCTATTGTTTCTAGGAGGTATTATTGAAAAGTAAAGAAAAAATAACCAATAAGTAGAAAGAAAATACTTGTATTGGTTCGCATAGGACGAAAAGGTAACAAGATATTTAAACAAAAAAAAACAATAAAAAAACCATAAATTAAGAAGTGAAATGAACGGATGAATAAGTGCGAAATTCGGATGATTACTACAATTTACTAACTAACAATAATAAGCATAAGAAGTATTCTAAGCGTAGCTCCAATCTGATGTTATGTCTACGTCTAAATATTTCAAATTTTTGCTGCTATAATATATATATATAAACTTCTTCCAATTTCAAATACATATTTATAATTCGTACGATCGAAAGGTACATGCTTCTGAAATTCTGCACGCAACAAATCAAGCGTTAGAAACACGAAAATCAGGATCGTCGATTAACAAACTAATCTAATAAATCTGCAAGTATTGGAAGAATTTGGAATCATACAGGATCTCGCGGGTATTGGTGGGACAATATTTTATTCGGTAAGAAAAAAAAAAGGAAATAAATCTCGTCTCGTTTATAATACACTTAAAAGACACGAATATTTCTGTTCTTCCAACCCCTATGCACAAAAGCTCGTCTCTTCCGTAAAACCCAAAAGCCAAAAACGCATTAGTATTTGTTAACAAGGCAACGGACCGTTAATATCACCCTAGTGACACGACATCGTCTCGATAAATGCATCCTTAACGCCTTCGAACGATAGGTATCAGGCAACGCGATCTCGCCACTAGGATCACAGTCATGCCGGGCACGATGTAAACCGACAAATCGATCATTTAAATAAATCGTGAACTGTCGATCGCCGACGAAGGAAAAGAGCCTCTGTACGTTAAAAGTGCAAATGACCAACAATGAGACGCGAAAAAAGACTGGGGCTCGATTCGACAAAACTTGAAAAGAGAAAAAAGAAAATCAGAAAACGAAACAGTAGATGACTTTTGTAGTTAGGCTCGAATAGGTGAAACTGGAGCTGTATGATGCGAAAGGGTGGAAAGAGGAAAGACTTTGTTTGACTGAGCTTGAAGACTCACCCTGCGGGCCAGAGGGGTTCGAGTTGGAGTTGGGCTGCGAGGAGTTGGGCTGAGGGGGCTGAGGTGGTGGCTGGGTCCCAGGAGGAGGCCCATTCTGTGGCATGTTCCAGGAGTTCCAGGAACCCCCGGGCCCGCCCCCCGCAGCCCCGCCAGTACCCGCCGTGGGCCCGTAGCCCCCTGAAGCGGCCGCCGCCGGCCCACCTGCGATCATCAACCACACAAAACACGTGTCACCGACCACCGTCGTCTTCTTATGCTTTTTTTCAGGGTACGTTTACACTGCCGCGACACTGCTTTCTCGCAGAACACGCCTGAAACCCTTGAAACGAGCCTGCTTCCATGAAACACCGATCCCCCGATTCAGGATTTCTCGTCATAAACGACGATCTTGCGTTCGAAAGTAAGCAAAACTCATAGTTCTGAGTCGAGCGTTCTCAAGAAAGGTACGAGAGCGTAAATAGTATTCAAGCCCATTTCTAGTACAGTTTATTATAAACAATAAATTCCCATAGCGTAACACTACCAAACCATATTTTCTTCTCTTTTTAAAAAAGAATCAAGCTACGAGGCCAAGAAGCTCTGGGCCAAGATTTAATGCTTGCCATTACAATTATTTACATACTGATCGACATTATACTTTGCAAAACAAGGGTAAATCTTACGTTTCAAGTTTAAAACTTGAGCTTCGCTGCTAAAGGGACGCTTGGAAGTTTCCTCTTTCGTGAACATATAAAAACCTGATGTTCGTCGTGCTCGTTTTCATTTTTAAGTGGTTCAAGTGTATTCTGAGCCGTTTATCGAAACGCGCGCGACTCGTCGCGGCAGTGTAAACGTACCCCAACTTGGTCAACCACTTCAGTGCCAAGCATGCACCGGTGAGCGGTGTTTTTAATCGAATTATGATATTTGTAAAAGAAACATTTTAAAAAAAAAAAAAGAAAAGAAAAGAAAACGCGAGCACATGCTCACCGTTTTTCTGCTGACGATTCTAGAACTGCTGGAAAAGATATGTGGACTTTTAAGCAACAGACTCCAAAGCGTTTCAATCACTTTTGTATAATGTCTATCGCTAATGGTGAACTTACCTCGGAATCTTCTCTTCTGAAATAATGTGATGATAGTATCTTCTGCAGAACAGTGAAGGCAAATTTATTGAATGGTATGTTTCTATGAATGTAGGTATTTTAAATTCATAACGCGCGTTATAAAACTTGCCCGCTCGTTGCAGTCTTGGCACTTAAATGGGTTAATTTTGCTTATGAAATGTTTTTTTTTTTATCTAGCCTTTTTAACGCTAGTCGTTCAATATCGTTCGACTTAAAACGTTCGTGCTTGGCTCTCACAATAGACAATCAAGCACAAACTTTACAGATAAGATTATGAGGTCCAATGTTTTGAAAGTGTTTATTATGTCAATTCAGACTCTGGGAAGAGGAAGTTCTAACTTAGAAAAATACATGTATAAAATTCTGTTATTATATGCTAACTGTGGAATAATGACTGCATTTCTGTTTATACAAATGGCGAAACTATTACATCGTAAAGAGATTATATGTGAAGCCTAGTATTCAAACGCAAATTGTAATCGTACCGGGAAACACGCGATATTTAATATATATATACGTATCGAGCGATTAATTGGCCTAAATTGACATAATTTGACATTCATTTGATATTTATGATGTCCTATTTGTATTCTCTTTCCATAATATAACCTCCAGGGGGCATCGCGAAATAAAAGTGATAATCGTACATTATAGGTATTTGTTTTCTCATGTTCTTATCTTTCTCTTTCTTCTCCTAACATCTCCAAGGAGGATGGAGGGGGAGAGGACAGGATCAAAGTTATTGTTAATCTTTATAACTATGACCTTATCGTGTGTTGTCCTAACAAATGCGTAAATGGTGTTGACATCGGCGAATAAACAATCACAAAATGAATTATCATCGAAACAGTGTTATACGAATTTTAAAGTCAACATTGCCACCATTTTCAACTCGTTGCAATTAAAAGGCTGTATATATATAAATATAACAATTATACCCTATCACACGGGAAATAAAATTACACTCTGAACTTTAGAAATTACATCGCGCATTTGATCGAAAGCTACGATGTACTGAATTTTCAACTGAGTATAATCAAGCATCGAGATCAAGATACACTTTATCGCCTCGAACTTAAAATGTATTCATAGGTATTATTGTATCAAATTCGTGAATTCGAATTTCGATAAAAAGAAACGAAGAATTAGAAGATATAAAATCGAACTATGTCTTAACAACTCACCATAACTTCCATAACCTTGAGTAGCTGCTGCAGGTTGGACGTTGTAACTGCTACTCCACTGATGATGTGGTGGTGGTGGAATTTGTTGCTGTTGTGGCGGACCAGGAGGTGCACCCCAACCCTGAGAATTATACTGAGTAGTGTACCCAGCGTATCCACCAGTTTGAGGACTAGTACCCCACCCCTGATACTGCTGCATCATGTTCCCTGGTGGGCCCATCGGGCCACCCATCATAGGTCCACCCATTTGTCCATTCGGGCCACCCATTGGCCCCATATTCCCAGCCATACCCATTGGAGGTCCACCCGGTTGCGGTGGACCCCACTGTCCCTGATGACTATCGTTCATTTTACTAGAAGAATCCCGTGGCTCTGCACGCTTGATCTCAACCTGAAACAAGAAAAATAGAGAAGATCCTATGAAATGTCAGTTCCACATACCTCACTGTAATTGTAACTAACAAAAATTATGCGATAGGACTCCAACTTTGAATAGAACCAAAACAATTCCATTGTTGCCTTAATAAATTTCCTCCTTTTATAAGTATACAGTCGTTTAAGTTATTTTTTAAACTCGCCAAGTCTTACATAAATTCTAAATATATTCTAATTTTTTATCTTTTATATAACGCATAATGTATGGTATTCTAAATCTTCTTTTGTTCAACTGACGCTTATATAATAGTAACTAAGCATACAGCCATTAAGCTAACACAGTATGAAAAAGTTGTGTAAAATAAAATAAGTACTATAACTAACATTAATGTATATAAAGCTATGTGGTACATAATAGTAAATTATACTAACAGTCGTACTTATTATTATTTTACATTACAGTAATCTAATAATGTATATGCTAGTGTGTAGGTATGCTATACCTGTTTTCCGTTCAGGTTGACGAAATGCTCCGCTACGCACCGGTCCACCGCATCTTCATCCTCGAAGCTGAGAAAGCCAAATCCTGTCGTCCAAACGTGACAGTATATCAAAAATTGCCCCATACATTTATACAACAAATATATTTTTTTTTCTTTTTTTTTTTTTTAATAATAACCCCGACTCCTGAATTTGTATCCTCGTATTATACTATCAACGTTACAATTTTTTCTTTGTACACTTTTGTTTGTACAAAACTAGTCCATTACATCTAATTAATTACTTTTGTTGCATCAATGATAATGGTAGTCGTTAGTTTTAATTTTGGTATATTTTTAATAATTTATAAATAATACTTATTACATGTAATTTTAATACCAATAAAAACATGCACCTTCTAAAATTTGTGAGTACTTATTATTACTATTCACCTTATATGTTCATAAAGCTTAAAATACTTAATCTAAAAAATTAATGATGGCTGATTTAAAGAAGCTTTTTAACTACGTTCCTCTTAAATTGTAAAACGAACGGAAATTATACGTTCAAAACTATACAATATCAACATAATGTCGTTTAAACATATGTGTTATATTAACAAACATGTTATATTCCTTTCATAAAATTTTTTAATAATCATAATTAACAGAAACTCTTAAAACATTAAACTAGTAAATATTTGTCAAATGCATGTCACTGAAACTTTAATTGTAAAAAGCAATTGATATTTTTAAAAAAACAAGATGCTTGGAAGAAAGTTTGGTCGAACTTGAGCACACTAACTTCTTGAATGCAGCCACCAAATATGAATAAATATTCAAAGAAAAAAAGAAATAGAATCTGTCACAGTAAACATGGATATCTACTAAATGTTTAATCATAAGGATACCAATGTTAAGGCAAAAATTTGTTTGTTTACTAAAAAGCCACTGAAATTAATATTATCCTAATTTATGTAAAGATATAGTAATTATAAACTGTAGTCTAATATTTAAGATTAATTTTTTATATAATATATACCAGTTAAGGATAAGTATAATTAAATGAGATTATTAATCAATGGATAAGATAATAGATGGATAATATCTAATAAAAATAGGATTTACAACGTATCTTACTAGTAACTTAACTTCGACTTAAGTTATGTACATTTAACTTATGTACTTAATATTCTATTCTTAACAAAACTTAGCCAAAAATCACAATATGTATAAATACATTTAATGTAATTTAATGTAACATAAAGTACCTTAATGTTCTTTAAGGTAAGACAAGGCGAATTATTGAGAGTAGCAAAGTAGGATAAGAATGCTACATAAATAACCATGTATAATGCATATAAGTTTCAATGTATGGAGAGGACCTTAAAGTATTTCATAACTCTATGTCAAAAACAAACAATATTAATTAAGAAGTCTATAAATCAGGATGTATTAATTATAATTATTAAGGGAAACAAGAGCAGGGTCGTTAAAAAAAAGGGTAATCAAGCAAGGGAAGTCCAATGACCATTTATTATTCACTGGCCTAAGCATAGAAACATATTCACCGTTTGACTAATTACCTGCTAATTCTAATATTCATATTTAACCTTTATATTAATAATTGGATCAAATTTTAATATTGTACTTTAAATGGGTGTGCTGCATTCAAGTCAGAATTTTTGATTCTATATATACAAAATATTATGGTTTGCACGTACTGTACGATATATGCATTATTTTTTGTATAATGCTCGTCATAACAGGCTACTTGCGTTATGGTATTGGGGGTATATTTATTTCAAGAATTCTGACTATATTCCTGATCACGCAATAAACAAAATGACAAAAATAACCAACTATAAATTTACGAATTATTGTTTTTTGTAGTTCCCATACTAAATAAACAAATATATATAATAATATATAGGAAACTGTACACCATGGTTTTTAATTATTATTCTTTAAAGTACCAAATTTATTTCTATGGAAACTACTTAAAACAATGCTAGTGTGTGTAAATAAATATTTTATGATGTACTCACCCCTTGATTTCTTCTTTTCTTGATCATACATTATGACAACTTCCATAACCTTGCCAAAACGAGTAAAGAAAGACCTCAAATCTGTCTCTGTCACGTTGCTTGGTAAGCCACCGAGGAAAACTTTTGGAAAGCCTCCGCTACGCTTTGGCTTTTGTTGAGTACGTGGATTACAGGGTTTAGGATCGATCTGTAACCCAAAAAATAAACAACACTTTAAATGTTTTACTATTTCCTTATGTACTGAAATGGTGATACTTGTTAATCTTAAAACAAATGCTTACCGTGCGTCCATCGAGTTGATGGGGTCCATTCTGAAGAACCAAAGGGACATTAGCTGGATCACTAAATGTTACAAATCCAAACCCGCGACTGCGACCAGACTCACTGTTTTTCATAACAACACAGTCAATTACTTCGCCATAACGGCCAAAGTAACGCTGAAGATTTTCTTGTGTTGTCTCCCAGGACAAACCGCCAACAAACAGCTTTCTAAAACATAAACATGTAACCAATTACGATTAACATGAATATAGAGACTACGATTACATAACTGATATAGTTTAGGAATATTTACTCTGTAATTGATACACTATATATTTTCAATACAATTTTCTTTAAAATAAATTAAACTGAAATAATTAATCAAAAATTTCATTTAATTTTGAGTGTAAAACTAATACTAAGAAAGCGTAAAAATCAATAAGTGCAAATTAACGTGATACTAAATAGGAAACAAAATATTTTGAATGAAAAGATCATTTTTTATTCATGAAAAGTGCATAAATTACATTTACAAACTAACACGAGATATAAGCTTCAGCCGTACAAACTTAATAATGCGCATAACGCTCCTTAACATATTTTTCATCCTAACAGTAGCGTAAATTTACGTAAAAGTTGACGTATACGCAAATACCTGCCCATATTTGCAGTTAAACAAGCGCGTGCGGGTAGAAAATCTACGCAACGAGGGAGTATATCAAAATGCACTCTGATCTTTCAGAATATAGAACATAAAAATAGAGAATCTAAAGCCGAAAGATGCATCGAGCAACGATGCAGTAGCGTAGTTTCATGGTGAAATAAATCGAAAAATCTATAATTTTTGTCGTTCGACGTTACTTTATTTTCATGTAAATAGGTTTCCTCAAAAACGAATGGATCGTTTGCCGGATCAAAGGAGCCGGGCACACGAGTCAAGCACCGTGCAAAGAACCGGCATCGATGAATTATTCCCCCCTCGCGAGAAAAACTACACATTCAAACGCTCGATGCTCTAGGGGGGAAAAAGGTTGGCCTCGCGTTCGTATTGCGCGATTTCCACAATAAGCGAGATTCGATGACGTTTTACGACATGCGGATAAGCGATTAGCCCAAAGATCGAGCGAACATCAAAGGAGAAGCGAAAGATACGAGCTAACTGCAACGCGCAAATGGAGTTCCCACGCAATAAACTCGACGGCCCGTGAACGCGTCCCGATCGAATTTCTCGCGTGTAAAACCGTCCACAAACGGCTGCCTATACGCAATTTGTACTCACCCCTTTTCGTCGTCGTCCATTTCGGTCTTCACTCTCATAATATTTCACTTAAAACTACGAGAATGTTGTTAGTATTAGGGCGCGAATGGGAATATGGCACGATGCTTAGCGCGGACGAGGGTAATGGCTCCCCACAATGAACGCGACGTCGAGAACAGAATGTAAACGTAACGAAGCGACTCGCGTCACTTCCGCCGACTGACTAGTCAAATCAGCAACCGTGAACGGTCGCGACTCAGGTACGAAGATAGAAAAATCTGGGGCCCCTGATCAGGCAAGAACTATAACCCTCCGCGTTATTTTTTATTTAACATTACACACGCTACACAAATATGTTTAGTTTTATACGAATGACGTTTATTCGATGAAGTAGAAACGTTATTTTCATAATTATAAAGTTACAATATTACTGAAATTCATAATTCGTGCTCTTTTATTCATGATGCATTATTAATAAGTTTCATACCGATACGGTCCTGAGAGAGATATCGCATATTGTCAGTGTGTCTAATTCTCAAGCAAACAATTGATAAAACACTTGACAATAATTTATTGCTTGTAATATGGGAGATTGAATGGAATATACACGCAAGTCAATATATTAGTTGAATACAGTAGTGCGTATGGGTCAACGATCTGTCGTCACATAGCTGATTCCCGCCATTTTGTTCTGAGATTAGCGGCAAGATTTAAATGATCTATTATCCGACTCCGAAAGCACATTGCTAACTCAAATGTAATAATCTTTCCATTTCGTTGGGAAAACGCGGATCTTTGCAAACAAACGAATTACTTAGGGGCGAAATATCTCACGCTTATCATAAATTCCTAATCTTGTTAAAGAAAAGAACAAAGTAATCATTTTCTTCTTACACACAACGCAATCTTCTAGCTGTTGCATAATGCATAAGAACCACCACATTGTGCAATGTATTACTCTTTCTACCGGTAATAATTTCATAAGGCACTCATGTAGAACGATGGAAGACATTAAGTCTACGTAATTTCAGACGTTATTACCGTGAAGTTTAATTAAACACGGTTTGCTGAATTTGGATGCAAAATACAAAGACGTGGCAGTATTAATATCACAGGAAACATGACGTATGTATACTTTCGTTAACACGGTGACTGCCATGGTGGTCACTGGTGGTCGGCGTTTCAAATCTGCGTGTCTTTAAAACACTTATTATAGAATTGTCTTAATACTTGTAAACTTTTTAATAACCCCATTGGCATATCCTTAGATAGGGATAACTTGTATGACAGTAAACATGTTAATAAATTTGATTGTTATAGAAAGCTAATTTTTTTAATTAACAAGCATAAGATCATATTATTATGGGAATAATTTAATTGATTTAATATTCCGTGAATATACTTGTTTTCTTTGCGTTTAAATTATTCACGCTATACAGAAATCCTCTTATCTGATAAAGTTGCGATAAAAGAAACCCGTGCAATTGAACGTTCGTCGAAAACTTATATTAAAAATAATTTCTCCGTAAGGAAATTGACGCGATTTTAGGCGAATTTTTAACTGTTAGGTACACGAACAACGAAAGTCTGTTCCCAGTTCCTACTTCACGTGAGTCAACAAGTCGTCTGCATCCTTGTGTTCCCCCATATGTTGTCAGCGATGACTGACTTTCCGAGACGCTATAAACCGTGCACATTGTCGAGAAATCCTACCGGGGATGCGTTCCAAACGGAAACCATCACATGTGTAGAATTCTAGGGATTAGTTCGTCTGTTTTCTCCGTCTTTCCGGCCAATGGATTTCCTCGAGCAGCTAAAAATAAGATTATTTAACATGCCCCGCCTTTAGTAGACTTCGCCCACTTCGACTGAATCATCCATCGAGCTAAATCAATTTCACCGAAAATTAACGCAGTACAAGCCCAGAAATATCCTATCCAGCCGCCTGTATCGTATACTATTAATACTGGACTACAATTGGATTTGAGTTTTTCATTGCGAACACACAACGTTCTCGACTCTAGGATTCCACCCATCGGCAGAATATTTGATAAGATCCAAAGAGAAATAATACAGTTTTAAGAAGAAAAAAAAGAACACAAACAAAGGATATTATTTATGGAGCGATTCTATAAGCCGAGTTGAAAAGAAAATCAGGAACAACAGAATTGAAATTGTCTTTACTGAAAGAAGTTTTGTTATTTTAAATTGAAAAATCTCGAGTCAGAGGTCAATGATTCGAGTCGCGACCCACCCGATGCGATATTTAGCTTGTCGTTCTGGCATTTTTCAAGCACACCTACGTCGCTCCTTCGCGTCTTAATCCGATCGTTCCGGTCGAACAAGGATCGAGCGTGGCATACGGGAGATAATATTAAACTCACGAAGCGTAAAGGTAGTTCAATTCACTTCTATTTCGACGGAAGTTCCTGCTTTACGAACGATAGGCCGCACCGTGTCAGCTTCGACTGTTCTTACTGTTTATCCAACGTACAATAACGTTTACGTTTACCGCATTTTGTAGCACACGCGAAGATCACGCACACTGTTCTCCTTATGTTTATTGTACGTTACATACGTGCCTCGTTGCACAATACCCTAACGACATACATACTTGCGTACACATCGTGCTTCTCTTTGCGTTTGCCCGGGCAAACACGTGTGCGCCGCTATCAGCCTCTAACACGCTGTGCAACAACCAAATCACGGACAATCAACCGTACTTGTCTAGCTAATTAAACGATATCGAATGTAATTGGCTAGACGCGACGCAAAGTACTCGTTAAAAAGAAAAGCAAACACTTCTACCTTATCTTCAATGGTTCGTGACAATTTTTTTTTCACCCACCCATCTTGATCAATGGCGTTCAAATTATACCCGTATTTAATATTTTGAAAAATTAATTTCAATCGTGCCTTAATAAAATACAAGTTCGATACGGTTTGATTAATCGAATTTTTCCTCCCAAGATTGCAAAGCGGCCCGACAGATAAGAATATTTTTAGAAGGTCACGAGATCTATGTTTAGACCATGTGTGTGCACGTACAACGATACGTGTTTGCTCCGAAATTTAAGTAATCTATATCGATAATCCGTCGTCGATTAAAAATAGAAACGTCCCAGCTCCGTTCAGACCAAACAGTTCACGACGATCGATTCTCGATGCTCGAACCGTACAACGCGTTGCAAATAAAATGACTTTACGGTTCGTTTCGTGTCACGGTCCCTTCGTTGTACATATCTAAACACGAATGCTCGTGGAAGACGATATCAATTTTGTCGAAATCCCAGACGCTTCGAGGAAATGACAAAAAGAAAAACTTTCGCAGCGTTTCATCGAGCCCGATCCCAAACACTCCCAAAATACTTTGACGCTAACGTACGAATGAAATATTAGGCGTTGTTTTCTTTTTTATTTTCACCGAGTTATACATGTACTCCGAAACTTCAAAGCTGCGAGCGAGGATTCTGCCGCGAGTAAAAAAAGGTACAGAATCTTTTCGTAAACTGTACCGCGAGCTTGAGAAGAGTAGAAACCATCTCTGTCGTCGGAAACAAAATCAACTCGATGTCTGCAAACGTTCTATTTTTATCGGATGTTTAGAGGTTTGAGGAGGTGCAAAACCGAGTAAGACCATTATAAGGCTTCAAAAAATTATTATTTTGTCGTCTGTTCGAAATAATAGTGAAATATAGCTTACAACCTACTAAAAAAGAATCAATTTTTTTAAGGTTCTGGGGTAAAATACCTCGTTAAAGGGGGATTCTCGTGAAACAGCGTTAAAACTTAAAATTTAATTCTTTTTCGTAAAGAATTAAAAGTTCTATTGTAATAGATTTTTAGGGACACGAAGACAAACCCTTAAACTATATAAAACTATTTTTTCATAGTTGGTGTACAGTGTAGCACAGATCATAGAAATCAGAACGCAACAAACGAAAAGTTATCTCAAAGCTGGTTGGTTTCCACTGATACTGAACCTATTTTAATTAGTCAGCTGTGTTTGACTATATCCGCCATGCGTAAAATTCAGTTAAAACTAAAACATACTTTGAAGGTCACAACGAAATAAAACAAACAAATAAAAAGTATAAATAATCTAATGTTTCACGCTTGAGCGAAAAACATTTCCCAGGATTGCATACCGGGCAGTTCAGCAACAAACAATCCTTCACGAAGGTGTGCACTTTGTTATAAAAAAATTAGGAAAGAATCACGGTATTGGTATTCGACGTGCAAAGTGTTACTGAATATGAGCAAATATCAGTGATAAAATTGTTAATTTTATAAAATAAAGCCGCCTTTTTGATCCAATAATTTAACAATGTCGCCATGAAAGAGATCGCCACAGCTAACGGGTTAAGTAAAAAGTATAACAAATGTTAAAAAACTATGTGGCGGCCAAGGCACCACATACGCCTTAGCCGTTCGAAGCCGCTACAATGTATGGTTGCACACGAGACGATGGTTGCACACGAGACGACCAGAGCCGCGTGAGCCGAAAAGCCGTTGTCGTCGTCTCTGACCGTCTTTTGTTTTTGAAGGCCTCTTGGTACGGTGGCGATGATCGTACCAGAGAGTCGAGCGTAACCCGCACCACGAGTCACGTCGTTGTACGACAGCAACAATAAAATTGTGCGGAACGGAACAGAGCGGAGTCATTATCTTCCCGATCCCACATTGGTGACCCCGACGTGATCTCGCCGCGCAAGTAAAGTTTTTTTTAAGAAAATTTGGACATTTTTTGTATACGGACAATATTAGTTAGTGTAGAGAAATAAGTGTATAGTGTTAAGGACATAAGAAAAGGACACGGTCTGACAAATAGTAAGCGCGGTGTGTGTGTGCGGTGAAACTATTTTTTTTTGTGACCAAGACTGGTAAAATGACTGACCCTAACGTTAACGCAGGGACATCCGCGGGTGTGCCGTTGGCAGTTGATCGCGTCGCTGTACGGATACCCGAGTTTTGTCCGGGAGACCCGGAGATGTGGTTTTCAATGGTAGAGAGAAGTTTTGAGGTATCCAATGTAACGTCGGAGACCACGAAATTCGGGTACATTCTCGGCGCGTTAGGTGCGCGACACGCCGCGGAAGTAAGAGACATTATCATGAATCCCCCGGCCGCGGATCCGTACACGACGCTAAAAAATGAGTTCATTCGCCGGCTTAGTGCGTCGCAGGAACAGAAAACGCGGCGGTTATTGGAACACGAGGAAATCGGGGACAGAAAACCGTCCCAATTTCTTCGTCACCTGCGCGGATTGGCCGGTACGGCTTTTTCGGACGGTGTATTGCGGACGCTTTGGATGGGCCGACTACCTGCTAATATGCAGGTGATTTTAGCCACGCAGCGGGACACCCCGCTGGATAAGGTGGCAGAGTTGGCAGACGCTGTTGCGGATACGATGACACCGCGGGTACACGTCACGGAGGCCGCGATTACGGGCGTGTCTGCATCCTGCCAAATACCCCCGCCGGGCCCGAGCATCGAGGCCATGTTAAACATTAAGATGTCACAATTGGCTCTTTCCTTGAGGCAGGAAATTTCTGCCATCCGTGAATCCTTGGTGGACCAGGGGCAATCTTCCCGTCGCAGGTGGACCCACCGAAATCATCCAAACTCGCGCTACCGCAGACGATCTCTATCGCGATCGCGAGAGCGGCCCGCGGGAGGACAAATGGACCATCAAGGGAAATGCTGGTACCATTGGCGGTTCGGTCCGGCCGCGCAGAGGTGCGTTGCACCGTGCAATTGGAACGCCACGGATCAGGGAAACGACCTAGGGAGTCGTTGATGGCGGCCAGCGACACAAATCCAGCATCACGCCGCCTCTTCATCTTAGACAACAGCTCGAAGACGGAATTTTTAGTGGATACCGGGGCCGATTTGTGCGTTTTTCCGCGCCGCCTGCTAGGCGGATTGCGAGAAAGATCGGAGTACCAGCTGGCGGCGGCGAATGGGAGTGTAATTAACACCTACGGGACAGTGTCGTTAAACCTGCACCTCGGCCTACGACGGGATTTCGTGTGGCGATTCGTGGTTGCGGATGTTACAAAACCCATAATCGGGGTAGACTTTCTCGATCACTTCGATCTTATGGTGGACATCCGCAATCGTCGCCTCGTCGATCGGACCACGTCGTTAACGGTCCGCGGAACACGAGCCGAGGATGAAACGCCGTCGGTGAAGACAGTAGCAGGGACTACCGTTTACCACCAGCTCCTGATGCAGATGCCGGAACTTACACGGCCTAGCGGCACCCCGATGAGGACTACGCACCAAACGGTGCATTACATCGAGACAACCCCTGGACCACCCGTTTCCAGCAAGCCGCGGCGGCTTGCACCGGACCGGCTCAGGGCTGCCCAGAAAGAGTTCGACGCGATGGTGAAGATGGGCATCGCTTGTCCTTCGAAGAGCGCGTGGTCAGCACCCCTTCATATGGTTCCGAAGAAGGGCGAAGAAGCTTGGAGGCCTTGCGGTGACTATAGAGCGTTAAACGCACGGACAATTCCCGACCGATACCCCGTGCGTCACATTGAGGATTTTGCGCAACAACTGAGTGGCAAAAAGGTATTTTCCACAATAGATCTCGTCCGAGCTTATAATCAGATTCCGGTTGCGTCGGAAGACGTCGGAAAAACGGCCATTACAACGCCGTTCGGGCTTTTTGAATTCCCGTACATGTCGTTCGGGTTACGAAATGCCGCGCAAACATTTCAGCGCTTTATCGACGAAATTTTACGCGGTTTCGATTTTTGTTACGCGTATATAGACGACATTTTGGTCGCCTCAGAATCCCAAGCCGATCACCTGCGCCATTTAGAATTATTATTTAAACGATTAAAAGATTATGGCATTGTACAGGAAGAAGTTAAATTTCTAGGCTATCGGGTAAATGAAAGCGGCACTCAACCTTTGCCCGGCAAGGTACAAGCCATAAAGTCATTTCCCCTTCCGAAAAACGCGAAGGATTTGAGGCAGTACTTGGGAATGCTTAATTTTTACCGCCGTTTTATCCCAGATGCCGCTCGCTTTCAAGCACCCTTGAACGACCTTCTAGCCGGCAATTTAAAGGGCAAGACCTCGATAGCCTGGACTTCGGAAGCGCGTCAGGCTTTTGAAAATACCAAAAATAGTTTAGCAAACGCAACCCTGCTTTCTCATCCTGCGGTCAACGCTCCATTGTCGGTTACCTGCGATGCTTCTGATTACACCGTAGGAGCTGTTTTACATCAGTGCGTCGGCAACGAACGACAACCATTAGCATTCTTTTCTAAGAAATTAGGATCTGCCGAAAAGAAGTATTCAGCTTACGACCGGGAACTACTTTCTATCTATTTAGCAATAAAACATTTCAAACATATGCTCGAAGGCAGACATTTCACGATTTTTACAGACCATAAACCCATAACTTTCGCTTTCAAACAGAAATTAGATAAATGCTCTCCTCGACAATTCCGATACCTAGATTACATTGCGCAATTCTCTACAGATATTCAACATATTTCCGGTAAAGACAACGTCGTTGCCGATGCACTGTCCAGAGTGGAAACGGTTAACCACTCGATTAATTTCGAAGAATTGGCAAAATCGCAAGCCCAGGATGAGGAGTTGCAGCGGTTGTTGAATAGCGAATCTAGCCTGCGATTACGCAAAGTCTCGTTGCCTGGTACGTCTTCCGAAATTTTTTGCGATATTTCGACTAAGAATGTAAGACCTTATGTCACCCCTCCTTTCCGACGTGCAGTTTTTAATATGTTACATGTATTATCACATCCAGGTATTAACGCGACGATCAAGCTCATAACGCAACGTTATGTTTGGCCGTCGATTAAAAGAGATGTTCGCACGTGGACACGTTGCTGTATACCGTGCCAAAGATCAAAAATTTCCCGTCATGTGACTGCACCATTGGCTACATTTGTTAAACCTTCTGCGCGATTCGAACACATTCATTTAGACATAGTAATTTTACCGGTGTCCGAAGGTTTCAGGTATTGTCTGACCTGTGTAGACAGATATACGCGGTGGCCGGAAGCCTTCCCCATGGTCGATCAGGAGGCCCAAACCGTAGCTCGAACCTTTTATGACGGTTGGGTAGCGCGGTTTGGTGCTCCCGTACGGATTACCACCGATCAGGGTAGGCAATTCGAATCCAAATTATTTTTTGCGCTGAACAATTTAATTGGATCCACACGCCTTCGCACAACGGCGTATCACCCAGCGGCCAATGGGATGGTAGAGCGTTTTCACCGACAGCTCAAGTCGGCTATAAGGTGCCACGGATCCGACAAGTGGACAGAAATACTTCCGACGGTTCTACTCGGTATTCGTTCCGCCTGGAAAGAAGACCTCGGCGCTACCTCAGCGGAATTAGTTTATGGCGAGCCATTAAGATTACCGGGAGAGTTCTTGTCTTCGCATTCAGCGGAAGGCACAGAAAATGCTTCCGATTTTACTAATAGACTACGCAACCATTTTTCTAAATTGAGTCCCTCTAATGCATCACGCCATTCCGTTAATCGTACATTCGTTTTCAAAGATCTTAGCAGTTCAACACATGTTTTCATCCGAACAGATTCAGCCAAAACTATTTTACAACCCGCTTATGAAGGTCCATACGCCGTAGTGCGCCGAGGCGAAAAAACATTTACAATAAACATTAGAGGTAAGGAAATAAATATATCAATTGAAAGGCTAAAGCCTGCTTATATGCTAGCAGAAAACAGACCGGATCCCGTGAGCATAGAAAATCAGCCGGTCACACAAACAAACGTACCTGACAATGCGCCGGTTATACAGCAACGTGTTACGCGTTCAGGTAGACGCGTACGTTTTCCCGATCGATTTCAAATTACGCGGTAGTACTTAAGGCTTGCGCATTATTATAATAAGTATCATATACCATTTATTTTTATCCATCACTTTTATGTACTTTCATGTATTTTTAGGTATTACGTATTATATATTAAACTCCATGTAAATTCCTTTTTTTTTCAACTCTGTTCAAATACTGTAATGTAAATCTTAGTTAGGATAACGTATTTTATATAATAGAGTAAATGGTAGTGGTAATGTAGTCGGTCAATTTTTCGTAATTGTGCCAATTACTGGCAGGGGGGTAGTGTGGCGGCCAAGGCACCACATACGCCTTAGCCGTTCGAAGCCGCTACAATGTATGGTTGCACACGAGACGATGGTTGCACACGAGACGACCAGAGCCGCGTGAGCCGAAAAGCCGTTGTCGTCGTCTCTGACCGTCTTTTGTTTTTGAAGGCCTCTTGGTACGGTGGCGATGATCGTACCAGAGAGTCGAGCGTAACCCGCACCACGAGTCACGTCGTTGTACGACAGCAACAATAAAATTGTGCGGAACGGAACAGAGCGGAGTCATTATCTTCCCGATCCCACAACTATACCATTTTTAAGAAAAAATTTTTTTTTGTTATAGAAATTTTGTCTGTTATACGAGAATCCCCCTTTAATGGATTGATGGGCGCACATGCATTTGGAAATCTCGAGGAATCTAGCGAGCAGACGCGACTGCTGCTGAGGACGGCCAGAAAAGGGTCGAATCGGAGGTGGTCGAAGGTTGCCGAGGTCAGGAGCGTGGCGCGAAGCCTGCGTATCGGCTCGTTCCCTCCGTATCCGAACGAGAAGTTTCGCCGCTCTCGTGGAGGAGCTTAGTATACCCCAGCGAGCCGATCAGGCTGCCTGTAGCTCCGGCTGGCCGACTGCTTGGCCGATTGCTCGACTGCTAGCCGGCCCCCGGTGTCTCGTACTCGTTCAGTTGTCGTCCCAACATCCTCCTCGCAACGCGTACGCGACCGGTGCCGCTTCGTGTCGGAGTCGTTCCACGTTTCTCTCGTCACCTCCTCGTTTACGGTTTCTGTCATGCGGTGGAGGGCGCAAATGGGTCGTTGCTTTTTTCGCCGCTAACCCGAACCCACGTGCACGCCGAACACGACCGAATACGACGAGGCAAATCGTCGGCAAGCCGACAGTTTCAGTTCTCGGAAAAGTTTCGTTCTTCTCATAAAAAAAAAAGCATCAGGAATCGTTGGTAATTAAATCCGGTGAAAGTTCTCTCGTGAAAAAGTGCGATCGTGTGAGAAAGTCTCGTGGATGATACCGAGCTGGACGAAGAGACTACGAATTTCGAGGGACCGTCAACGTGAGTAACCGACTCCCCGATCGTTTAGGGAAGACGATCGTGCCACGGAGGACATTTCGTTTGGAAGCTTAGCCACCGCGAAATAACATCCGTTCAACCGTGAACCGTGGGGGGATCGTTCCATGAACCGTGAGCGTTTCGTTTATCATCGTGCTGGAACTAGAAAAGTCGATGACTCTTTCGAGACTTCTACCGGTTGATTGAACAGCTTGACTTCGAGTCCAGTCACGACCACCGGGGCGACTCTGTTAAACGTGTCTATGCCCCGAGATCACCGCCTTGGGTCTCGACGTCTATGGGAACAATTAGCGGAGGCCCCGTTCCTCGTTACAGCTTCTAATGGCTGGGCTCCGCTGTTATGGCTCGGTCTTTCGAAAATACGATCGAACGCGAATCGACAACCGCGACGAATCTGATGAGAGCAACGCGTATCTGTCCAGACGAATGGTTCGCGAGACGCGTGCAAATTCATCGGGGAATAATTTCGATCGATCCAGTTCCGCGAATGTTCCTCGCGATCGTAACAGAAAATAACACAAATATCGAGTGAAATGAAAAAGAATTTAAAGAACGTAGGAAACATTACTTTTTTAAATTTGAAACAGTCGTTGACATTTGATCTATCGATAGTAATTTGTACGCTGAATACGAACATTCTACGCTACCGGATGTAGTGGATGCTCCAATAACATTCCAACACACTTTTTCGTCGGTTCACGTTCGCATACCGACGAAGTATAAACGTCGCTTAATCGAAATATACAAAGTAAAAACGTTGTAATTTTCATCTTTCGCTCGTTATTCGAGAACAATGTCTCTAGATGTCATAACGTTATACATAACTTCTGGAGAAACGATACAGACGAAGTGAAGTTATAAAACCTGAAACTCGTGGTAATTAAGACTCGTTAATGTCGTACGTGTTGTAATAGTAAATCATACGTTCGTACATGTGTAATTTCATCTAGATACAAATATAACATCCAAATAGGACTGTGAACGACTATCGAAACGCTAAGTGTGTTTTGTAACAAAAAGATCACGTTACCACGGACCACTATTTTTCATTCGTGTTACGGAATTTTAATTAAAATCTAACTTAACGGAACATAAATATCCTGTTTGCACCGAATAATAGAAAACTCGGGAGGTAGTTGGAGACTGGAACGAATTCTAGGTAATATCGGTGTCGGAGCAATCTCCTTTACTATAGTTAGGCGAGGTTCGAGACCAGAGGAAACAGTAATTCAGGGTCTGAGTGTTCCTCCTATACGTTTATTATTGTATAACGTTTCATTCCTCTTCGGGAACTTGTACGGATTCGAAGAAACATACGTGGACGTACAATGCGGTAAATATTTCAATCAACTAAGTAGCGAGAGTAAACGGAAGTGAGCCAAGCTTGCGCTAGATAAAGGAGCAAAGAGCAATCGTAAAAACATAAAAATGTCTGCAAAGCGATGATGCTAAATTAACTATATACACAATTCACTCGTTGAAAAGGGGTTCTCGTATAACAGGCTCAACGATTACTTTCCGAAACTTCGTTAAAAACTTTAAACGCGTTATTATTTAGGGAATCGTTTACTGATTTCTCCAGAGATCGAACCTAGTTGTGAGTGTCCAGTACTTATCTTCGTGAAATTTTTTTAGATAAACTTTACGACACACAACAGGTTGGGAACCAATGTACCCAACGGTATGAAATATACAAATATGCAAAGTGTCGTATCATTTTGTCCCGCACTGTAGCTGCCCGTTGTATCACAAACGTAATTTCCACGTCGAAGACCGGTGCATCGACACTCGACTTTCACGAAGTTCACGTAAGTCGATGAACCGCGTTTCCAGCTTATCGTTGCTTATCGTCGCGAGCATATCCTGATCTTCCTCGCCGTAATGAACTAGACGTCGTGGCCTGCCGAAGAAACTAGCCGAGATCCGAAGCTTGACTTTCGGTTCAAACCGGTTCTCCCGCCATCCGTACGTTCTCGTTCCTGCACGTCACATCGAATCCTTTAACGGGACGAACAGCGGGAATTTCGTGGATCCGTGGATACGAACCGCGTAATCGCGATTGTCAACGCCCTTTCACTTGTTTAATCCCAAAAAGAATAATTCTAAAATATAAATCTGTTCCTCACTTCCGGATGAACCGATTGCAAATACTAGAAAATAATATTAAAACGTACATTCTGAAGCTTTAGAATTAAACGTTGGCAACTTCCAGAGCACTGGTAACGGTATCGAAGCGAATTTTCTTCGAAAAAAAAAAAAGAAATCCGCGATTTATCAGTTTTATCCGGCAACGCGAACCAGCGGAGAAGAAATTACGAGTACGTGGCGCGAAGTTCGTCACGGTCTCGAAATTATCTCCGAGGTGAATTAGTTTTTCGTAGCATTTCTCGTACCGATAAGATTAACGGCGCTAACGGAGCATCAAATTCACGTTGGTATCGCGTTTCGCCGAACGTACTTGCAGAGATCATTTTTATTAAAGCGTGGATTTTAACGGGAATCCTCTTGCGTCTACGATCGCGGGAGGATTGTGGGAACGGAAACGAGCGCGCGAATAACAACCAGGTACAATCAACGATGGCCATCAACGATCTTGCGTGTTGAACAAAAGCAATCAATCTACAGATAACGAGAAAATTCTTTCTCTTCAATTAAACCGTCGGGTGCCAACCCGCCACAGTCTGAAACATTTTTGATATTCCGTTCCGTCAGGTCGCGATTTGAATTGTGTTCCGAGTATCGTTCGAATGAGACAGCTAGTTAGCGGATTAATCATTCGAACGATACATTTTCCGTCGAGGGGAGACGCGCGATGGCTTGAAATCCAATAACTGCCCGCATTCGGATATGTATATCAGCATGCCTGGAACCGGTTTCGCCAAGGGACAATTCTTTGTCTACGCCGATTTAGGGGAATGCGTCTCGTCCAACCGCGTAGAAGACCATGGTCCGAGGGAAACGTACGTTCCCCGCGTTATCGTGCCCGACGATTAGCTGTTGCGACATTGCGTCGTAATTTCTACGAAAACCTCACGATATCGTTGTAACTGGAAAGATTGTTACGGAAATACTTTAATGGGGGGCTCTTGACGAAGTGGAAAACGCGGACCGTGGAAGTATCGTTCGAGAGACTGGGGAACATTGAATTTGATTCGCGACACGTGGAGTATGGATTCCGTCGCACAGTCTGCGGGGAAATAACAGAACCATGCGGTTGATTCGCCGAGAACGTCTTATAACGGCGCCAGGTTCTCATTTTATGGGCACGTTATTGTATTCGTCACGCGTACTGGGACCTTCTTGCGCCGCACAGACCTCGTACTGTTCGCGCGGGGAAAAAAGAAACGTTCCGCTCACCGGGTCAAATCAGTGACACGAAAGCCATTTAACGTCAGAACTGTGAAATTTCGAATCGTTTCGAATATTATTCTGGTCCAAAAGGTCTCGAATATCTTGATCGTTCTTGAAGTCTTGGTCAATCTTGAAGTCTTGATTGGTCTTGATTGGACTTGAACGTCTCGGATGGTCTTTTAAAGTCTTCGCCGATGTCGAAGTCTTGCTGGGCCTTGAAACTGTTAATAAATCTACCATGAAGATAATTTCTAATCTCTATTTGTTCTACTTTGGTGCAAAAAAGGGGCAGCTCCAATATTTAAATTGCATTCGTTGGAAAAACACTTTCGTTCCGAACTCGAATATTAGTTGACTATGAATTTATAACGCGTTTAGAATTCTTGATTTTGGTTTTCGTTGACATTAGAATATACGCGTCCCGATAAAACGTTTATCTACAAAAATGAATCTCTTTTTATGCAATCTACTACTCAGAACTTCGGTACCAGGACATTTTTATCGTTCTTATCGCAAAAAAAGGAACGTTCCGCCCTCGCAAGTCAAATAATTGAGTGGACTCGTCCCACACGCGTGTGCCATTCGATGTTTTCAATTGAAACGCAGTAATCCGACTCGTCCCTATAAGTTTTGCCACTCGACGTGACGAGCATTTTGATCGCCCATCAATTCCCGACGAACGGATCAATTTGTTGGCGTTGCGTTCGAACTGTAATAAAATACTTAATAAATCGGAGCTACGGTCAAAAAAACGAGAGAGAAAAAAATCGTTGTATCTTAATTGCTGACGTTCGTTTCACTCTCGTTGTTTAGCACGTGCGCGACCTCAATCCTTGGTGGAGGCACTTGAACATATTGATCGTATCAATTTTGGTACGCGAATCGCCGATTGCCAAGTGTACACGTTATCAAACAGTCCCCGATGTTCCTTTCAGATTAACATGGACGTTCGATTTGTCAGCATCTCGGGCACCCGTGAAGCGTTGACGGAATTCGCGAAAATGCAGTCGACGGAATCGAGAAAAGGATTCGATGTAAGTTTCACTATTAAAATTCTTATGTTTTCATCGTGTGTTCGTGGGACGGTAGAATCTGGACAATGGGTCACTCCAATAGTTGCACATTTGTTGGATTTTTATTTCATTGCGTAATCGACGTCGGAGTAAAAATAAATGGCTGACCAAACAACGGTCAGCTTTGTGGTCTTGCCGCCAGCGATGAAAAACATTCGCTCGTTTGCTCTTTAAATGGCAAACAAACGCTGACCGAAGTCCGTGAATACGGAAAGAGCCTCTTTTGAAACCTCTCATATATCAATTCAGTTTCGAATGCCACTTCGACTTTCGCAATCGGTCAGGAGATTCGGAGGATAGTGTCCGTTGACTTTCGATCGCTCGTAGATCCTTAACGCGTTTGCTACCAAGATGGCCACTGATGACCTGACGTTTCAAGCTCATAATGGTTCTTTGAACGTTTACAACTGATTAACCCTTCGTTAGTCATGCGGATGACATGTGACACCCGTCTCTACATTTCTCTTTATAGTTCTAAAACGACTCGAGTTAGCGTCGTCTACAAGGAACCTTTTACATAGTTTTGAGGTCGTTCACAAATTACGTCGCGCTTTTGCAAGAAGCCGCCAACTTTGAGCCCTCAATTGCAATTAACCCTCAAAAAGTATTAGAAACTACGAGGTTATGGGAGAATAGTTCTAAACAGTAAACAATGATATCAAATATCAAATTGAAGACTCAACTTTATCACAGATTTCTGTAGAATAGTGAAAATTATCAAGAAATAAAGTGAAATTACTCGTTGGCTATTAGCTTTACTCAAAATTCAATATTCTTCCATATTTTGATATAAAAAATATAGTATTCTATTTAAAAAAACAAGGTTGACATAATACTTTACTCTTTAAACCATGCAACTTTTGTATACGAAATACTTTCGTGCAACGCATGTTTTGGAAGTTATAGAGGCGCACAAGTTGCGTGGATGACCCTGTATAAGGAAGGTATATCTTTACTAGTTTTCTATGCAAGGTCTATAAGCTGACTAAACAGTCCCATCGATGCACCCACCGAAATTACGTAATAATGCGACGCTGTACAAAACTCTTATATCACCCCCTAATAAATACTTGGTTCCTAGAACATGTGTTCGAAGATTGATTTTTGTATTGAGCTAATTGCGCATGAAATTCAACGAAAAGCAAATATAGTACTTGACAGAAGTAAATATAGTAAGAAATAACTAATTAGTCGACCTCGTAACACAAGTGTCTGCTTGTTACATGAAAATATGAAGAACCGAGCTGTCTCCGTATAATCTGACATCGATTGCTCGTCGTACAGGGATCCCTTTGCATTAGAATTCCCTTCCCTCCCACTTAATGCAAAATCTTCCATACAAAGTGTTGCGATCAACAGGTCTGAGCGGAACTGGTGCTCGCCGCGGCTAAGGGGAGCAATGGGATCGCCCGTAAATCGTCAGGCAATCGCGCTAATTAGCATGTTGAAATTATCAAAAAAGACGACGGCGAGCGTTGGAAAGATGACGATGAGTCCAGCCGTAGGTCCAGAGACCCCGGAACAGTACCAATGGAGGAGGTGACGTAGCAGCCAGTGATGCGTAAACGACGTGGATTGGCCAGCGCCGTTCTGGGCCTGTCAGTGGGCCTTCTCTTGGGCTTCCTGATCCAAAGTTACCGGATACTCTTGTCGAACCATCAGCAACGTGTCAATATTTACGCATCATCGGTGTCAGGGCCGCGCGTGCTGGCCAAACCGCCGACGCGAAGCGTTCCAAAGATGAACGACGACGAGCAAATAAACAGTTCCACGAGCAGCCTGGTGTTCGTGGGCGTGATGACAGCCGGGAAGTACCTTGACACGCGGGCGAAAGCCGTGTACGAGACCTGGGGCAAGGAGCTGCCGGGGAAAATAGCGTTCTTCTCGTCCGAGAGCTCCACCGTTCCGGCGAACTGTCCCGATCTGCCTTTGGTGCCGTTGCTGCGCGTGGACGACACCTACCCGCCCCAGAAGAAGTCGTTCATGATGCTGCAGTACATGTGGAACAATTACGGCGATCGTTTCGAGTGGTTTCTGAGGGCCGACGACGACGTTTACGTGAGGTCCGACCGTCTGGAGAAGCTGTTGCGGTCCGTGGACTCGAGGAGGGCCATGTACATCGGCCAGGCGGGCAGAGGGAACTCCGAGGAGTTCGGTCTGCTGTCTCTGGAGTACGACGAGAACTTCTGCATGGGCGGACCTGGCGTTATTCTGTCCAGGGAGACCCTGAGGAGGATCGTGCCGCACATCAAGTACTGCTTGAGACATTTGTACACCACCCACGAGGACGTCGAATTGGGAAGGTGTGTGCAGAAGTACGCCGGCATACCTTGCACCTGGAGCTACGAGGTAATGTTGTTCGTTTGTTCGCTTTTGCTCGAGACCGTGGATCTTGTCGCGCGTCGTTAACTCTATTCTCGAGTCACTTCCACGATCGTGGCCCTACGTTGTCCAGCGGCTCGACGTGTCTCTCTGCCGTTCACATAACATTAAATCTATTTTCGGTCGTCCTCCTTTCTTCTCTCTCCCGGTGCACGCACCGCGACACCGTCGACATACACGGCTCGTGTAATTCGCCGATCGACACGGCCTGACGGTTCATTAGAACGCCGGTTATCCCACAGAACGTTACCCGTCCACCATTGATACTTTCTACGCAGGCACGAACCAAGTGCCTGGGGCCTAGGATCTTGGTTATTCTTGCTCCAAAATGTAAAGATTTCACGTTTTAGAAATCTAGAAAAAATGAAGTTTTTCTCTCATCCAATGGGACTTGAGAAACGTTGTGTCGACCGAGTCGTGGACATTGATAGAATTCTCTTTTGAGATCATGACTCGAAGAGAAATTCTATCGAAAGAAGGAGTCCGTTTGCGGATACTCGACCATCTTGCCCAGGTTCCGTTCGTAGGCAATTGTTTCATCGTATGTTTTACCGATTTAGTAATCGTTGAAATAATTTAGTCGTTTACAAGGGAAGCACTCGACTTGTCCCCCTCCGATCTTAACCTACTTCTGCCGGGTGGTAGATTACAGATCTCTGTTGCTACGTGTACGACGGTGTTTTCCAAAGGGAAGGAGGAAAAGAACATTGTTTTTCGTAGGAGTATATTTTTCCTGCGCCAAGCTTTCACCTGAAATAATATTTATGTGAAAATGGTACGGAGTAATTAGAGCTAATATTTAGCGCGTAGCAACAGGGTAACAGCGATCTGCCGTTCAGGAAAAGTAAGTTGAAATCGGAGGGGAACAGGTTCGGTGCTTCCCTCGTTAGTTCCAAGCAGTACAATGTTAGCGCGTTTAAAGCGAGCTCGGCACGATACATATTACAGGTTTAAATACGTAAGCTACGCATCTGCATCATATACAGGGTACGCTATCATTGGGTTAACTCGGAAGGTACAATGCACAGATGAGGATGTTAGTCGTTAAGTACAAGCGAATAGTACCCTGCTAACCCAGTGGCCAGATCGAGTCATTCTCCTCCATCTTGACACTCACCGTTAGGTCGAACCGCTTAAGTAACAATTTGCAGCACGAACTACTTGAATCTTTGTGCTGCTCCTTGCAATAATTTAATCGAACTGCACGGTTACGCTCAACGTTGCGCGACGTTCCGTGCATTATTATGTCACGCTGTTGGCGGCTGCATCGACAGAAACACGATCCAATAAAACTCTTTTCCATCCCGTTTGCCTGTCCAAACAAAAAGCCTTACGCTGGATTGAGGAAATCCTTATCAAAGAAACGAAAAAAACATTCGCTGAAAAAAAAAAGAATAATCCTTCAGTCTCGGGACCACAAAGCTTGCTCGAAGTATACTTATTTACGCAAATACGTACTCGAAGGCATTTGTAGTAATGTAAAATAAGTAATAAATATATTTTTCAAGATACGATTCTCCAAGAGGGGGGATTATCGCCCCTTAACTTAATAATCTTCGCGAACCGCGCGATCGAAAAGAAATCGCGATCAATTTTCCGCAGCGAAGCCTTGCAATCGTAGATGCCAGGTATCGCTAATTGCACGCGAACGGCTCCGTTGAAAGGTAAAATGCACGGATGAGGATGTTACTCGTTAGATTCGAACAAATCGTAGCGTGCCAGCCTACTGACAGTACGTTCGTTCTCGTCTTGACACTCGACGTAAGGTCGAAACACTTGATAGCCTATTCGTACGACATGCAATAACGACAAAGCGTTTGTTCTGGACTTTTCGTACGTTCACCGATTAATTCGTCGATCGATCCACGGAACTAATCTACTTCCTAGAAATCACCGAGATCGCTTTTCGGAATACACAATGACCCAGACAAATTCTGACGTTTCAATCTTGCGGGAAGTCGACCAATCGCCTTTTTCTATTCAATTATTAAATAGATTTACAATTCAACGAAGCTGTTTTCCAATTCCCAGTCACGAGCGAATAACAGAAAAGGAACATCGACGCGAATGGTCTCGGAACACGACCGAGTTAACCTGAGAGATGTAATACTAGAATAATTCTCTGTAACAGGAGACCACCACACCCAGTCTCACGGGTTGATTAACACTCGTTCTGCAACCCAGTGTTTCAATAAGACGCAGCCTCGCGTTCTTCGGCAATAATTATTATCGACCATGCACCGACAGGAAGTTCATACTTTAACCTTAACTCCGGTTTTGTTTGTGCTAATTGCCATCTGGCCGGGCTCGTTCGCACGTCCCTTCGAGACTCGTTAATTCGACGACTCGAAACGTGCTCGCGAAAACACCACGATGGAAAATCGAGGCCGCGGGGGTCATCTCGATCCCTTTTTCGGGCATTCGATCAAACGCATTCTACGCGCAACGCCTCGACAAACAGGTTCCTCGACACTTTCGAGCCATTAATAATACATTTTTGTCTCGTTCGACGAGCTATACCGTCCAGCCACGTATCCATAGTGTTGTATCATTATTTCTGATTATTCATTAGTATGTACACGCAGAGCCCAACGACTGAATACACTCCGCTTGATTGCATAGTCATCTGAGAAAATCAACTTGGCAGCTAAGCCAACGAGTCTCGTACGAGCCTTGGGTTCGATTCATTGGCAACGAATTTTCAATTATGAAATATAGAAGGCGTTCTTTGAGTAAATGTATCAAAATTTCATGGAACATCGTATTAAGGTTTCGCGATAATAACGGCATAAAACGAACGTTTTAAAATGATCTTAAGAGAGAACAGTCCGTGATGACAGTCCGTCTATTTCTGTCCCTTTAATCTTAATTGCAGCTGGCAATATTGGACGCTTTCGCTGTTACAGATGCAGTCCATTCTGTATCATAACAGCAGCGGTGCACAGGCGTTCACCGGAAACCTGAAGAAAAAAGAGGTTCACCACGCCATCACTTTGCATCCTGTTAAAAGCCCGCCGCACATGTACAGGCTGCACAATTACATGAGGGTTGGTAGCCACGTTACCTGTACTCGTTCCGATTCTACAACAGATTACGTTTCCGTTGCAGGGACTTCGGATACAGGATCTGCAGCAAGAGAGACTCAATCTTCACAGGGACATTTACACCATGGCCAAACAGTTAGGAATTAGAGTCGAGGATCTCAAGAATCTCGAGATCGCGAAAGGCGTTCCCCTGTTTCCCGTCAGCCCCCACTCGAAAGAATATCCCGGTGACACGGAAATACTAGGTAAACTTTTCCAGAACTTATAAAAAATAATTTGCTTTCTATATCTTGGAAAATATGACCCTAATAATCTTTTCTTCCAACAGTAACCGAAGATAACGATTGTTTAGCCTAGTTCGCGACTTTATATCTTCCGTTCTATCGATCGTACAGAGTTTCCCACGGCCTCATTTTTCCTGTTATAGTTTGAGGAATGTCCTCCGCATTTTTCCGATCCGAGGCGCGAGAAAAGTTTCACGTTTCTCATTTTTCCAAAGAATAACCCACGTATCAGATTTTGCTATCTGACCACAAATGCATCAGGTCATCGCGTAATGTTTCTTATCTCGCTTAAATAAACACTCGAATCTCGTCGATGCGTTTGTAGAGACCTCTCGACAGTCGACAACGTGCGTTCGTAGCAATAAGATCCATAGTTTTCATACAAAATGGAATTTTAAAACAAATATTTAAAAAGATATTCTGTTTTTGTGCTTTAAATTTACGAAAGGTGGTTTCCAAATATCCTGAATGTCTTTTCTCCGTTTTTGGAGGAGCAAGTGGTTCGATAGTGCGTCGCGTGGATCGTTACGCGCCGTTCGCGAATAGTGCACCGTAAGTGAAAAAGATGGAAATGAGTAGAATCATGATCGAAATCCTGATCGTCCCGACTGATGGGCTGAAACGAATCGTGTCGTGCCTCCGTTTCAGCATCGCCGCGTCAGTCCGGCGATCAATTCGCACGAACTAATCATCCTAAGTGGCTCTATTAATAACGCACATCCACGGAAACGATTCAAATGCTTATCGCAAGGACGAGATTAAGTAACCGCGCGATCAAGCTTTTCTTTCCTCGACGATGCAGCAGGAAAAAAAAGACTCTCGAATTTCAACCCCTTGTCGCAACCATTTAATTACAAGTAAATATATCGAACGATATTTAATTTTCTGTAAATTTGTTCGTACGCTCTATGCTCGTAAAAAGTGAATAAATTTGTTCAGTTCTGGTTATTTTCAACTCTGGAATCATCTCTACCCTGTATACTGATATGCAAGTACAAATTATGGGAATGTAATGGCCACGTTTGCTTCCATTTGCGTCTGAACCGGAAATTGCGATGAATTTTGCAGGTGTACAAGAGGGACTCCGGTCGTTCAAACCGAGAAGCAGCGACGAGGTAATTCCCTGGGACTTTCTTTCGAGGTCGGAGTACAGCATAGCGGACTCCAATCCCAGGAGAAGAATTCACAGCGATATAAGGGAGGGTCTGGAGGACATCAGAAGAGAAGTGATGGCCTCCATAAACGCTTGCTCACGACAACGCGGCAGAGTCGTGGAGGAAAGGTCGGCTCTATACGGGTACAGAAGAGTGGATTCTTACGGCGCCGACACGATACTGGATCTTCTGCTGGTGTACCGGAAGTACAGAGGCAGAAAGGTCACGTTGCCCGTCAGGAGACACGTTTATCTGCATCAACACTTCACCGGTACCTTTTACGTTTCTAAACGATCATCCGCGTTTCTCGGAATGCTTTTTCTCCGCTATGCCTTTTATATCCTCGTCGTCGACCCGTTCTAAACACTTTCCTAATCCTCGATGGTTTCCCCGTATCGTTACCGCGACGTTGATTCGAGGCAACGTATCGAAAATTCTCGTGATCCGGAGGTGGTAGTGACGTATAATTTTGCGACAACCTGCGCATAATTTACCTTTACTCTAACCCGCAGGACTGGAAATACGAGAAACGGTGAACGGAAAGGAAATCGATGCCCGAAGCGACCGACGAAGCGACAAGTCTTTGCACAACATATTCAGCGGCGGTTTCTTGAACCTGAATTTCAACTCCGTGTCGGAGGATCCGGTCGCTGGCAAGATCGTCCATTTTATTCTACCATTGGCGGGAAGGTACGAGGTTTTCCAGCGTTTCCTGCAAAGCTACGAGGAGATCTGTCTGACCAGCGGCGAGAAGACCGCGCTGTTGGTCGTTCTCTATCCTCACAAAACGGAGAACTCGTACAACAAGACGATCAATCTGATCGAAGAGATCAAGTACAAGTATCGTAGCGCCAGTATCGATATCCTGCCCATCGACGGAACGTTCTCCAGGGCAAAGGCCCTGAATCTCGGCGTTTCGAGGCTGAACAACGACGATCTGATGTTCTTCGTCGACGTGGACATCGTGTTCACCGGTTCTGCGCTTTACAGAATACGCGCGAACACTCTGCTAGGCAGACAGATGTATTTCCCGGTGGTGTTCAGCCAATACGATCCGCGGATCGTTCGCGGGACCGCGAGAAATCGCGACACGTTCGAAATAGACGAAACGACCGGTTATTGGAGACAGTTCGGTTTCGGTATCGTCTCCCTGTACAAGCAGGATTACAAAACCGTGGGTGGTTTCGATCTGTCCATTCATGGATGGGGCAAGGAGGACGTGGACTTCTTCGAGAGGGTGGTAAAATCCAACGTGAAGATCTTCAGGGCGGCCGACAAGAATCTGATCCACGTTTATCACGAGGTGGAGTGCAGCAAGGATCTCTCGAACACCCAGCTGTCCATGTGCATGGGCACCAAGGCTGACACTTACGCGGGCATAGAGATGTTGGCCAAAATGATTTACGAGGACCCGAACGTCCTGCGATTTGCCAAAGCCAGACGAGCGAACATGACGAACGCGGTCGGTTGAGAAATTATTTTGTGTTGACTGCTCATAACCGAACAGCCATTTTTTAGATTCTTTCAGTCTACTTCGAAACTCCTACCAGATTCGTAAGATTCTCTAATTGCGTTTGAAGAAAATAATTAGGAAATATTTTCAATGGCGTACAGAAAATTCTAATCCACGAATCTGAAACGTTCGTTGATGCGCAGTCAACGCGTTAAAGTCGAAAGTATGTCTCTGAGAGCGCCAGAACGTCCGTTAGCTAGAACATTTTGTAAATACACGGGTGTGATCGTGATTCTTTTTTACGCGAAAGTGCCGTGCAAGCAGCGGATATTAAGATCAACGCGAAATCACCAAAGCCATTGCCGTATGAGTTTGTCACTTTAATGGCCGCGCAGAAGCTTCCGTTACTATTTCTATATTGATTAATTTGAAACAGCTATCTATACCGACATTATAAACCAAAGTGAAGCACGCGAAGATGCTAGGAATATTAGTATAAGGAATTATAAGTGTTGGTATACCGTAATAAACACGCGATATGAAATCTGGATCTTGACTAACGTAATAAATCGAATGGACGATGGAACGGTGAAATCACTTACACGTGACAGCGGCCGTGAAAGTGTTAATACCGTAATTACGTTCGTACCGCGACTTTCCTATATCGATAGAACGGAACGCAGACCTGAGATTTAATTTAACGAGTGATGAAAACGATATTTAATTAAACGGATATTAAGTTCCCGAATTGCGTGAGCAACGATCATGCTATCCTTGTAAGAACGTAATTATCGATAGGCGGGGTGTTAAGATATTAGAACTGGAAATACAAGTTTCACGAAATCGTTTTCGTCGTTTCAGCGATTAACGCCCTGTCTATCGAGTGCAAGATATTGGCATTATTTACTCTACGAATGTGATGTATCGCTTCCTGAAAAAGAGTCGAGGAAATTTTATTTTTAGAAGCAAGGAATACCTTGAAAGTTAATTTATATGAACAGATCTAAAATTTCTATTCCTTATTCCGGGATAAAATTTGCCCGACTCTGGGCGCTAAATATTTTTCATTCTCACGACGAAAAGTATATTAATACCCTTTTTTTTATAAACGAATATTATATTGTAAGGTGAAATACTACGTCCCCGATTTTGGGGACGCTTAAAACCTGCCTAAATGTTACCGGGCGGAAGTAAGAATGCGCGAATGAGTAACTTAAGACAATTTTAAGATGCTAATACTCGTAAGAATGTTCTATTAAACCAGTCGTGTAAGTACATGTGATATTATCGTGCCTTGTATAGATCTTTATTCGTAAATCGAACGTACTGCCTATTTTATCGTATTTGTACCTAAGCGAGTCCAGCTGTGAAAATCTGGCATGCAGGTGCCTAGACTTGCATAATCGTTTATGCAATTCGCATTTCGAGCGGTCGCCTAAGATGCTTCGACATTTCATCGGATTCCGAATAAAATTTCTCTATTAAATAAGCGGAGTTGCGCCGATCGCTACAACTCCAGACAAACGGTATCCCTGAAACGTTTCGAATCCTTTGTATCGCGACTTTGAAAACTCATCTTTAAAATTTAACTCTCTTAATAAACATCAAATATTACAGAATAACCTATGTTTTTCTCGAACCTTAACTATGCAATAAATTATCATTTTCTAGAAAAGTATCATTGATTTTGCTCTTCACTGTATACAGGGTGTTCAGCCTCCCCTGGGAAAAATATTACTGGGGGATTCTAGAGGCCAAAATAAGATGAAAATCAAGAATACCAATTTGTTGATGGAGGATTTGTTACAAAGTTATTAACGTTTAAAGCTCCGCCCGTACTGAATTTTTTTCTCGAAAATGGATAGGATTTCGAAGGTATGTGTATTCACCAAAAATGATTGTAATTGACCCCCGCAACCGAAAATAATTTTTCCAGAATGATTTGAAATTTTTTAATTTCGTCGAAAATTTGTCCACTACTAATGTTTTTTTTTCGAAAATGCGCAAGATTTCGGGGGTATGTCTATTCACCAAAAATGATTGTAACTGACCCCCGCAACCGAAAATAATTTTTCCAGAACGATTTGAAATTTCTTTTTCCGTCGAAAAATTTCACACCTTCTCGAATTTTTTTCTAGAAAGTGGGTAGAATTTCGGGGGTATGTGTAATGACCAAAAATAATTGTAATTAACCTCTGTAACTAAATATAATTTTTTTAGTATGATTTGAAATTTTTTAATTTCGTTTCAAAATTTCAGTACCTACTCGAATTTTTTTTTCGAAAGTGGGTAGGATTTCGGAGGTATGTGTATTCACCAAAAATGATTGTAACTGACCCTCGTAACCGAGAATAATTTTTCCAAAACAATTTGAAATTTTTGAATTTAATTGTTAATAACTTTTTAACTTAGCCATCAACAAATTGGTATTCTTGATTTTCGTCTTATTTTGGCCTCTAGAATCCCTCATTAAAATTTTTCCCAGGAACCGAACACCCTGTATAGTATTGAAATTTAGTTTGCAACCAAGTCATGATTGTCTTATCATTTCGTTATGGAGCGCCAGAAAACTGACGAGAGTAAGATGGTCGGTACAGATCCACTTCATTCAATTTTGAACTTCACTGTAAATAGTGATGAAATTTAGTTAGCGACCAAGTAATGGTTGTCTTATCGTTTCGTTATGGGGCGTAAGAAAACTGACGAGAATAAGACGGTCGGTGACAATAAGTGCCAAGCTCGTTACTGACCACGCGGCGCTTAGGGAATTATAATTCATCGTCCAAGATGAAGGCCCTCGCATATCGTTCGGCATAAGAGCGCCGAACGGCGCCAGTCGTGTCGCATTTAAGCGCGAATCATCGTCGCGGTTGCGTCTAACGCGAAGCGCTTTTGAACTTCGCGAAGTCCGTCAAAGGCCAAACTGGGTCGAACATGAGACTGTGCCTGGCCGTGTCGATTCTGATCGTCCTCGTGATGGACGACCAGGTCGACGCGAAGATCCTGTCGGAATGCGACGCGGCTCGCGAGCTTCAACGGGCTAAGATCTCGAGGTCCCTCATCAGCAACTGGGTTTGCCTAATGGAGAGCGAGAGTGGGTTGAACACCCAGTTGGTCTCTGGCCCGAAGACGGCCTCCAGCTACAGCTACGGCATACTGCAGATCAACAGCGCCAAATGGTGCGCCAGAGGACGCCGCGGAGGAGTTTGCAACAAACGGTGCGAGGACTTCGCGACCGACGACATCCAGGAGGCCATTGCTTGCGCCAAAATAATCGTAAATCAGGACGGGTTCAAGGCGTGGGACGGATGGCTTAAGAAATGCAAGAACAAACCTCTGCCGAATATTAACGATTGCGAGGGAGTATAACCATCGATCGAACCTTTTGCAGCAATTATACATGTATCGTGATACGTATCGGGGATTACAAAAGTGGCACCAGCAAATAATCTTTAACCTTCTTCGATTGGAATGCACTATTGACATTTACGATCGCCGCGACTACTCGGAGTGCCAGTTGCTATGATATTGTAATCGAGTATGAAATGTAAATTTGAATTAATAAATCGATGGTTAAGTGATGCCGTTTGTATTATTTCGTAATTTAAAAATTTATACCATTGATCTGTCTCCTCTACGATCCCTCGTTTAGTAATTGTCGACGCTTAGAAATCTGTGTATTTTTCATCGTTTAATTCCGTTTGGCGAATGATTTTGAACGCGGAAATTTGATTATAATTGACTGACACGGTTCAACGCAGTTTAAAGTTCACTCGAGTGCGACTTCAACCAGCGCTTCATTGATAAGAATGAATATTTACGAATGTAAGCCACATATTTACGGACGCTTGAAAAATTCTATCGTTATGTACGAAATAGCACAAATTTCGACCTGATATTGTATGTTAGAAATACATATTTCTTTGCATATTGAACGCGTGCGTTTCGTACATTTCCTGGAATGTTAGATAATTGCTCGAACTTCTTGGTAGTTATTTTGTGATTATTCCGACGATTTCTCCATTTGATTTATCGGGTTTTCTACAGTGTGAGGCGTCGTTAGCAATGTCTTATCGCATTTTTACCTACGAAGTGAAGAGGGTATTTCTCGCGGTATATTTTATCAGCTGTAACAGCTTCCAGAGATATTGTACTCGACAAGTAAGCTGGTAAATGTATCGAGTGGAGTTATGTAACGAGATATCCGCGGTGCAACCTCGACGACTGTCAAAGATAACTGTTTCAAAACAACACCGGTTAAGAAAGAAACATTCCCCATCCTGGCGTTCGGTGAACTATCGAATGAATATTCGATCATTATAATATTTACATATTCATGATGTGTATCTTGACATTCGCGACACCAGCGAAGAGATAATATATCTCGGCTATAGTTACGAATCGATTGAACTTAACCCAGACGAATCGATGACTCTGTAAAATCATTCAGGAGGATAATTTATCTGGCACGGTGAACGCAGGTTACCTGCTTTCCAGCAACCAATGCGAATCCACGCGAAGAAAACAGACTATAGCGCTGGTTGTTGGCAAGTAGGTTTTCTGCTTTCCAATATAGTAACACAGACGAGGTATACGAGTAGACATTACATCTAATACATTTTCTTGACCCATTTTTATGGGGCTCTACAGCCTCATTATCATTTTCACTCGCAACATTTCCAACAAATTACAGAAATGAACACAAGAGGAAGTGGAATTCATTCTTAGAATTTCTACATATTCTTCACTAAAATACGCGTTATATGCATTTTGAAACATTAGAATGCTCCAATCCGTTCAGAAGTTATGATGTTTTAAAGACACGCATGACAATTTCAGTAGAATATTCCTGGTCAGGCATTATATTTTCAGTAAAGAATTTTTTTTCTCGAAAGTACGTAGAATTTCGAAGGTATGCATATTCAACAAAAATGATTGTAACTGACCCTTGCAGTCAAAAATAATTTTTCTACAATGATTTGACATTTTTTAATTTCGCCGAAAATTTATCCACTTACTGAATTTTTTTCTCGAAAGTATGTAGAATTTCTGGGGTATGTTTATTCACCAAAAATGATTATAATTGACCCCTGCAACTGAAAATAATTTTTGTAAAACGATTTGAAATTTATTTTTTCGCCGAAAAATTAAAGCACCTTACCGTCGAATTTTCTTAAACATTCGTTTTAGATTTCTAGTAATTTTATTTGACACCCTATAGAAAAGTTCTCTAATAGTTTTTTGTAGGTATTCATGAGCTCTACCCCAGCAAAAAGTTTCATTGAAATATATTCATTATTGTAGGAGTTATGGCTGTTTGCAAATTGGACCATTTATATGGGGTTTTTCTCACTTTACGGGGTCAAGGAACTACTTATCGAATATTTTTGGAACGTCAACATATTCTCCACTAAAAAGGGCGTTGTTTGTATTTTTAAACTTTAAAATCGTCCAATCCGTTCAAAAGTTATGACGTTTTAAAGATGCAACAGAAATTTCGGAGCGACATTTCTGGCCTGAAATTATATTTTCAATAAGGAATTTTTTTCTCAACAATGGTTGGGATTTCGGGGGTATGACTATTCACCAAAAATGATTTTAATTGACCCCCGCTGCCAAAAATAATTTTTCCAGAGTGATTTGAAATTTTTTAATTTCGTCGAAAATTTGTCCATTTACTGAATTTTTTTTCTCGAAACTGGTTAGGATTTCGGGGGTATGATTATTCACCAAAAATGATTGTAACTGACCCCTGCAGCTAAAAATAATTTTTCTACAATGATTTGACATTTTTTAATGTCGTCAAAAATTTATCCACTTATTGAATTTTTTTCTCGAAAGTATGTAGAATTTTTGGGGTATGACTATTCACCAAAAATGATTGTAATTGACCCCTGCAGCCAAAAATAATTTTTCTACGATGATTTGACATTTTTTAATTTCGTCGAAAATTTATCCACTTACTGAATTTTTTTCTCGAAACTGGTTAGTATTTCAGGGATATGTTTATCCACAAAAAATGATTATAATTGGCCCCTGCTGCCAAAAATAATTTTTCCAGAATGATTTGAAATTTTTTATTTTCGCCGATTTTTCTTAAAAATTTGTTTTCCATTTTTAATTAATTTGTTTGAGGCTCTACGGAAATGTTGTTTAATACTTTTTTGTAGGTATCCATGAACTCTACTTCACAAATAAATTTCAAGGGAATACACACGCTACTGTGGGAGACCATTTGAAGCAACTACTTCCTTCTTGAATCCCCGAAGTTATACAAAGCTCCAGAACTCATATAGAAGGTGGCTGTACATTAGTGTGTGTAAGTGGGGGAGTAGTTTTCCTCGAGCACCGGTCTGCCGTCTGATAATACTGAACTGCCTTTTTCAATCCCTCCCATAATCAACCCATATGTATTTACTCACATACTACAGGTGTCTGCCCGTCAATACTAATGTAGGAGATTTGTGATGAATATTTGTGTCACGCTGTAGTTTGGTTCAATGTTAACTTATGTGCAAAAGGGTTGAAAGTGTTTTGTGAAAAAAAGAAGGGATTACTAGGGTCAGCGAGACAACGGGGAGAGAGTAACGAGTGATTGGAAAAGACGGACGGGATTTGAATTTGTGTTGTCAATTAATGTGATTTTAATTTGTGTAAAAAGATTGTGTGCTTGGTGTATTTCAAATTCGTTCATATAATTATATCTTTTGTACATTTGTTCCAAATACAATTCTCTTTTTTAAATCCTACACTAATTCAGTGAATAATTTCTCACCTGAACGAGGACGCTAAACTCACCTTCGAATTTTCAGACCGGTATGGCAATCAGATTGGGCCACGAAAGTCCTTGCATAAGATACAAGGTTTATCCGTATATGTACCTCGTCTGTGATAGTAGCGCGCTACTCGAATCAATTCATAGAGGGTCAGAGGATCGAGATCGCCTTACGTAGCTATCTAAAAACAAAGTAGCCGCATGAGAAATCTGATGGATTCGGTACGTGTGATAAACGCGATAAAAAAATACGAGTAGTCATTAAAACACTCCATCTACCAAAGAGATAGTAGAAGAGACGGTGATTCCGCGAAATCCCCGAGCGTAAGAAAGAAGCGGGACTTCTTTCCGCGCAGGCTGCGCCGAGGAAATGATAATTTGTCGCTCAAGCTCAAGGTTATCGCGTAGCGTACGCCGGCGGTGCGACGAGCGACACAAAACCAAGAGCCAACACGCGTCACATTTCATCGCGAATATCCGTCGCGGTTGCGTTGCAAATCGAACACTTGGCCGCGATAAAATACATCGTTCGCGCGATCATCGAGGGGTCAAACCGAGATACAATGAGATTGTGGTTGGTCGTGTCGGCCATGGTGGTCCTGACGATGGACACCCGTGTTCGCGCAAGGATCCTCTCAGACTGCGAGGCCATGCACGAGCTACAACGAGCCGGGATCTCCAGAACTTACATCAGCACTTGGATATGCCTGATGCAAAACGAGAGTGGAATGAACACGCAGCTGGTGACTGGCCCGAAAAGGGCCTCCAGCTACAGCTTCGGCATCTTCCAGATCAACAGCGCCAAATGGTGTTCCAGGGGACACTCGGGTGGCATATGCAACAAACGGTGCGAGGACTTCGCGGACGACAACATACAGGACGACATAGTTTGCGCGAAAACGATCATGGACCGCGAGGGATTCAAGTCTTGGGACGGCTGGATGAAGAACTGCAAGAACAAACCGTTACCGAACATCGCCAAGTGCAGACGATAACGACGAACGCGACGACATCTATCACTTTGCATCATTCGAGGTTATCGAACTAGTGGGTGATGGTTCCGTAACGTTTATATGGGTTAAACTCGGTTTATCCGTATTCGTGCTGCTCCTCGAATCGGTTCGTACAACGATGGGATTTCGATCGCTTCGAATCTCTAAAATATCAAAGTACTCCGAAATCTTGATCGTCTTGAAAGTCTTACGAGTCAAACAATACATATTTATAATAGCTATATCTTCCCAGATTTTCTTTTGTTTATCAATAAAAATGCATCAACAGAAGCAATGAAAGAAATTTACAATTATTGACGTTATCAAGACTTTCAACGCCCCTAAGGCTTGAGATTTTTAACATCGAATCCTACTTGAATCTGTGTTGCAGCACGCAAAAAGATTCGAAGAAATGCGAAACGATTAATAATCTACGGATTATCCCCTCTACTAGCGTTTATCCGATCGCTCGAGCAGGTACCGTGACGACGTTAATTCCGACAAACAGAGTTCTAACGTTCGTTTCGTTAGTGGAATTGGAGTATGGAAATTGATGAGAAAGAATGACATTTAAAAATAATCGAAAGCAACACTGTTCGATGTTTGCGAGCCCAGTGCGAAGTTCACGAGCGTGGTACCGGTCGGTTTCTAACCGATAAGGATAATCGAAATATTTATACACAGATGCGGTTATTTTTACATGCATTTGAATACGAATCGATGAAATATATCTTCGCGCTAGCTACCAGACGCTTCGAACATTTCCGACTCGCACAATTTATTTGTTTGTTATAGCGATAATTTCTTCGTTGCTTGTAAAAAGTGCCATATACGTATCCGATAAGTCTCTTATCGCGTTTTTGCTCGTAGAGCGAAGCAGGTAATTGTTAAGTTCTGTAATACTTTTATCTACCACTTCTTGGAACGCTCGAAGAGATTGCCGTTTGAAAACAGTAGGAGAGGCCATCAAAATGGAAATGATACGGCACAGATGCGTAAACAATATTCAGCCCATAAAATACATTGTACAAAATACATACACCCACTCTAATTTAAATATCTCAAACCAAATTTACATTCACGAACAAAATTCTTCGATAATGAACATGAATAAACATAGAATCAAGAACCAGTCGAAAGATAAAATCCGAATACTATTACGCAAGATGCTACAACTTCTTCGAGGCTAAATGTTAAATAGCCTGTGTTTAAAAATCCAAAGTCACTCGAGATTTTAATAAGAGTAACTCGACGAAACTTCGAATGTATCTGTTTAAATAAATTTTATATTAAGCTAGATCGAAGTTTATTATTTTATCGTTTTGTTTGCACGACGATTCGATTCACTGTGCGCGATATCGAACGATGTATCGCAACGAGAAAAGAAGCACATCTTTTAAACACGACCACGAATCGATTGGAACCTAGTCAACAATGATATAACCCGTCGACGTGATCATACATGGGTCGCCCGACTTGGTAAACAGAATCGGTCGAAATAGTAAAATCGTTTAGAAATGCCGACGACCATTAGAATTACAAAGCTGGACGTGACGCGAATGCATGAATTTCTTCCTGATTTCGTTCTCTGCTCGGAAAAAAGTATCGCGACCGTTCGATTTTTGTCCATTAATTTAATTTTATTACGTCCGATCGTAATTGCATTTGCTGGACGATTACGATTACAAAATTTCGTCCGTACAACGATTCGAACATTTTTAAAACGACCTTTTGAAAGCGCGCCTCTAGTTCGACCATCGATCATTCGAAATCGAAGGAAAAAGTATCGATGATCGATACTGCCGCGGGACATTCGATGTCGTCGAATTTTTTCGAGGAACGTTGTTGAAACTAGGACTATCAGGGTTACGAGGCATAAAAAGGCAGATGTTGCGTAACTCGCGCTTCGAAATGTCAAGTACACGTTATTATAGTGATACGAGTTAACGCGCAGGTCCAGTGAACGTGTTCTCACGCGATAAGACGAGCCGCGAAGCAACACTTTCTTGGACGATCGCCTCGGCCCGCTCGTCTTTCCGCGTTTCTCTTTTTCTCTTTAAAATCGATCGTTACCACGTGTTCGAGCGTTTTCACGATACGCCTAGGAAAGACGACAGCGAGTGCGTAAACGATTACGCAACGAGTCCGTAGACTCCTTGCGACTGAAAATTCTTAACTCGGTCGATAATTCTCGACGACTCCAACGAGATTTTTGACATTGCCAAACTTATTGGTAGTAGGTAATTCAGATTTTTTTTGTTAAAAAAAAGGATAAACGAAAAGATTTGTCTGAATTTCTGATAGAAGAATTCTCGAAACTACGGACCAAAATGGTCAAAAAGGGAATAAGGAATAAGGAATTGCGAATGCAAAACGTCGAACGAAATCGAAATCGATCGACAGAGAAATCGGATCGTGTCTCGCGGAACACCCGTTAGAATTTCAATTAGAGTGATGCGTCGATCTAAGCCTGCCTTTCCAGGCGAACATTGCCGGTTTACTGGCAGAGGAGGCGTACTTGGACAGTCTGATGCACACGCGGGGATGCACGTAGGTGCAACGTAACCGCATTTTACCTTAGAGGTGAGTGTGCATGCACCTTTCACTAGCGGAAGTGAACAACTGAGACAAACGCGTGAGAGCGACCCGGGTCATCGTTGCTTCTTTCATAGGCGGTAGCCAAGCCATCGGAGGGCAATCTACTCGTGATACGGTGATCGATCACGGACAATCTCCACGCATAATCGCTTCTAATTACAGGCCTTCCGAATGCTCCGATCCGGGGGTTGAAAAGATTTCGTAAACGACTGTTTTACTGCTACAAACTAGAAACACACGAATAAAAAATAAATTCCAATAGTAGGGGCATTTCGAATTTATCAGAAAGTTCGTTAGGTAATAAACTGCGTATCGTTTATTAACGATATTGATTATCGATAGAGAATAATTTCAGGATTTACGACCGCCATTACGAGTATCAGGCGCGCAAGGGAGGCGCGGATTTACGCAATGGCGGATAAGCTGTTTAAGAAGAGTCGATAATCGTAAATGGTAATGACAATAATTATTAACGAATCGATTTATAGCGTCGTCTACGATAAGAGTGAAAAATCAGTTACGGAATCCACGGCTGGTAATCGTGAGAAGCCGCGGGAAGGATCGCGAAGCAGTAAATCACGTAACGCGTTTGTACGGACGAAGACGGCGCGATAGACGCAATAAACCTCGCTGCACATGTTGCATTTCTCGATGAATTAGTATTGAATAACGGTGCACATGCGAAGAATATTAACAAGCTTTTCGTCGGAAGTACATAAACACTGAATGGGAGATGTTCGTTCACAAATGGTACGAGTTCCAGACATCTCGAGGAAGCCACTCGACAAACAAATCTGTTCGCTGAATCTTCTTTGATCGTAACACATTGTCTACAACTGTCTCGTAACTGTTCTCGTCGATTTGGAATAACGTCGTTTGCAAGGTTCGCGAAATCCGCTTACGGTTTAATTAGAAACGGTTTCCTTAGACGCGTCGATTACCCGGGAGAGCTCGAATTGATTAGACAGACGTTCTCGCGTTTCCGGTAAGAAGACAATTTTCGATCGCACGGAACGTAAGGTCGAGAGCGTGGGTTCTCAGGGTGCATCGTGCCGGTTCGCCGCAGGAAGAAGGAAGTGCGCGAATCGATCTTGGAATAAACGAGTCTAAGTAACGGTGAACCATGGCGAACGAGAAGAGCGTGCCGGTGAAACTCGAGCGTAGTTCGGAGCCGACCTCTGCAAAGGTCGCGCCACGATACTCCTCCGAAGAAAGTGATCCGATAAAGAGCGAGCAGGAAAGGCTGGGTAATTGCATTTGCATCGCTACGAACTCTCCCCCCATTTTTATCCTACATTTTTAACCCTCCAACGGGACACCGTTTGTTTTTTTCTTTCGGTAGGTCAATTATTGACCAACCCTATTTAGAAGCATCATTAATCATTAGGTAATTGTAGGAATTTTGTAGCAGGCAGCACGACTATTTTTTAGTTTGTTACGGCAAGTATTGCAGAGTATGATTTTAAATCACAGCTTAATTATGCAAATAAACAAATGGTAAGGAAACCATTGGAAAAATTAACAGGACTTAAGGTGAATTTAACACGATCTTTAGAGAAATCAAGTAGAGAGCAGACTATGATGCAATGCGTTAGATTAATTTCGTTCTCTTTTTGTAACAGACTTGTAGGAAATATTAATTATAATCGACGGGTTCGCTTTCATAAAAACAAACACCGAAACTATGAAATACTTCGATCGATAAACATTTTTATTATGCGTCTTTAATGGATAATTGATTTTCTTATCTTACTAAAAATGCCTTTTTTATGAATTTTTGAGGGAAGGGTTATTGACTATTATAGAACGCGACTCGAGAAAGATTGGGAAACACCGATGCGATCAGTTCCATCAATCCCGTCGCTGGCAACGCCACTCTCACTTTCATTAAAAAAAAAGTACGAAAGAAGATTACGATGCTTCTGTTATTAAGCTCGGCAATTACTAATTAATCGTCGACGAGTTCGGTAATAATTGTGGTTGTGCAACTAGTTCGCGTAAAAGAGAAAAAAAGGAAGGAAAGAAAAAAGTGAGCGATCTCGGCCGTAGATTGCGAGAGGAAAGGTAAAAGTAAAAACGTGAAAATTACTATGAAGAAAGCATTTTAATGGACGTTACGCGGTGCCAAATAAGCATTTTGAGCCGGAAAGGAAAGCGGCGAGATTAAAACGGTGCCAAGCTGATTAGAAAGAAGCGAAAGGAACGACACGGCGAACTCTCGCGACAGAGTTGGCACCGCGAGTGTTTAACACTTTGTTTCGTTGCAAAAAAAAAAAAAATTACGAAAAAATAAAAAGAACAGGACCGATCTTCTCGAATTCGCGACGGAGTGCCAAAAGCCCCGAAATTGATTGTGTACACGGTACGATCGGCGCTTTTAAATGTCAAAATCCACGCGACCGAGCTGTGTAATAATAATTCGCGAATCAATCACGGATAACATGTCACGCGTCAACTTTTATACGTTTAACGCCGGATTTACGGAACCCGTCGATTTAACGGGTTTTTGTGATATATTTTGTTAGCAATTTGCGTTGAATTTAATTAACGATACGAGTACGTATAGTGAAATTAATCCAAAACAAAAGGCGTTGTATTATGTACTATATATTGGTTTTCTATGATGAATATTAAATAAATATTAATCGAAAGCAACGGTATTATCGCATAGATGACGCTTATGAGAGTTCCTTTTACCTACATCGACGTTATCGAAAGTTTCGGGTCGATCACTTTGGAGAAACTAGGTTCAATCTTGTGCCAGGGATTGTTTTAGAATGCGGATGACCGCCGATCGCTGTTACGTTGCCGAGGGGATTGCTCAATGATTAGGTAAATAGAGATATAATAATTCTAACTCTCCTCTAACGCGACTCGAATCGCTTTACCATTAAATCAACACGACGGAAACCAGCCTCTTCGTCCAAGTACTTACAAACACCTATATTGACATTTTCTAAATTGTCCATTAATTTCATTAAGCGAGCTCCCTCATGTTTTTAACGAAAAAAAAGAATTTACGTATGATAAATTATTAAATTAGATAATACTCATTCAGTGACTCTACCTCGAAGAACCAGGTCAACTTTTCACGATTTTCTTCTCGTCACCTTCGCGTTGGTTACATTGTTAACTTACGTCAGTCATCTGATAGTCAGCAAACTAAATTTTCTCTTGGGAAACTTTAACAGAAGAACAATTATTGTATTCATACGAATGCCTTTCAGTTCAATGTATCGCGCGTATTTAAAACAAAAATCCGAAATGTTGCTCGTTTTTTCACTCGAAACGCGAGGAGAAATTCTCGTAGCTTCGATTTCAAGCGAATTCGAGGAACTGCAGCCCGTATTTGCACTTACGTAACGCGGGAGTTTTGAACTAGGCTTATTTACTTAGAAGTACAAGAAGAAGATTCTGCGCGAAGAAAGTGGTAGTCGTAACCGAAGTAATTCTCGAAGTAACGGCTTCGGTGCTAATCGAAACGGATGAAAAAAAAAAAGCCGATGCAGAAGAAGAAATCGACAAGATCGCTCGGAGCGATGTTATTGCGTGTGTACATAGCGACGTGAAGGGTGTTCATTAAATAGACTCGCGAGTTTTATACGGACCTGTCTCGTCCGGTATAAACCAACCGGAAGCGTTTCTCCAGTTTTCACATACCGCAGTGATAATTACATACATGGGAAGATGTTCAT